ATACTTATCAATTTGAATATATGATCTGTTTCCTATAATGATCCCTTGTTGATCTTTTCCCCTGTTCCATAATCAAATATTGTCTTGTTGCGTTTCGCATTGTGATGGAATGGGCACTAAAGGGAGAAGCTTGGAAAAGGTAACAGACGAGTAATACTGTCATGCGTCGTTGAGGCCATCCGTATAATTGTCCTTCACCTTTAGGAGTGTACATTGGATTCAAGGAGTCTGAGGACGCGCACCTGCTTCTCTGAACCACTTGATTCTGAAGAATGTATAAAGACTGAACACGTAATGACACCAAGTTTTATTACACAACATGTCTATGGCTATAACCATGTAAATGCTAGGTGTATAACTGGCTATGTGTATGCAAACAACAGTTACTTGTTCTTCAACATGTTCCCAAATAAAGAAAGCTTGTTTTTATTACGCATGAACATGTTCCCAAATAAAGACACACTGTGCAAGTATGTGTTGTAGACAATACATTTGTAATATAAAGGTTATAAAAGTCAACACACATACATACAACTAATAGAAAAATACACTTTTGAATAAGTAAAATAAAATAAACATGTTCTGCACTACTTTAGCAATCCAACTACCTATGTAGCTTCTATGACATCTAGGCTATCCTTATCCCTGTCCTAGCTAGTGCAATGCTGCTTGTTTTCTTTATCCGTATTTCCATACAGTGCCTTGCAAAAGTATTCATCCCCCTTGGTGTTTTTCCTATTTTGTTGCATTACCACCTGTAATTTAAATGTAGGTGTCACATGATCTGTCAGATGATCTCAGTGTATATATACACCTGTTCTGAAAGGCCCCAGAGTCTAAGCAAGGGGCACCACGAAGACCAAGGAGCTCTTCAAACAGGTCAGGGACAAAGTTGTGGAGAAGTACAGATCAGGGTTGGGTTATAAAAAATTATCCGAAACTTTGAACATCCCACGGAGCACCATTTTTAAATCCATTATTAAAAAATTGAAAGAGTATGGCACCACAACAAACCTGCCAAGAGAGGGCCGCCCACCAAAACTCATGGACCAGGCAAGGAGGGCATTAATCAGAGAGGCAACAAAGAGACCAAAGATAACCCTGAAGGAGCTGCAAAGCTCCACAGTGGAGATGGGAGTATCTGTCCATAGGAGCACTTTAAGCCGTACACTCCACAGAGCTGGGCTTTACGGAAGAGTGGCCAGAAAAAAGCCATTGCTTAAAGAAAATAATAAGCAAACACGTTTGGTGTTCGCCAAAAGGCATGTGATCAATCCAATTGAGAATCTGTGGTATGACTTAAAGATTGCTGTACACCAGCGGAACCCATCCAACTTGAAGGAGCTGGAGCAGTTTTGCCTTGAAGAATGGGAAAAAATCCCAGGGGCTAGATGTGCCAAGTTTATAGAGACATACCCCAAGAGACTTGCAGCTGTAATTGCTGCAAAAGGTGGCTCTACAAAGTATTGACTTTGGGGGGGGGGGGGGGGGTGAATAGTTATGCACGCTCAAGTTTTCTGTGTTTGTTTCACAATAAAACATATTTTGCATCTTCAAAGTGGTAGGCATGTTGTGTAACTCAAATGATACAAACCCCCCCAAAATAAATGTTAATTCCAGGTTATAAGGCAACAAAATAGGAAAAATGCCAAGGGGGGTAAATACTTTCGCAAGCCACTATGTGTAGCAACGTGCTCTGTTGACAAGCGAGAGATGACACGCCAACTCTGGAGCGTCATACTTGTTGCTCGCGCAAGCGGAACAACACTGGCACATACTTTTGCTGAAATAGCTAGTCCGTTTTCTTCAAAAGCACAGTTGCAGATGTTTGCAGAATACAACTATATCACATTTTTCTACGGGCCCCCTGAAAACATAATCATCTGTAGAATCTGGCCACTACCACTATATGGCTCATGCAAGCAACTAAGCCAGCCAAAGAAATCTCAGGAATGGACCAAAACAACTGTCTGGATGATGCTTCCACACTAAAAGTAAACACTAAAAACCGAAATATAAGAAATTAAAAGCTGTTAAAATGACCCAACACGTTTTTTAAAAATAAAATTGCAGTTCGGCTTGGATGCATATTTTATGTGGTTGAAATACTATCAGCTTTTATGATGCTGATAAAGATGGCACCTTTACAGACGGTCCCTAACCGCTCACTCATTCTCTCAAGATGCTGAAAGAAAGAAATATTTCTCCACTCCTGTTCCTGAGTCAAAATGTGCATTTGGTGTATCATTTTACTGCAAGAAATGGTTAGTTCTGCAGGAGTTCATATTATATTAGGTTATGTGAGAGGTTATAGACCTACAGTCAGTGTCCAGATTTCAGTTAGGCTACTATTCCATTGAACCCATATGAACAGTACAGTTCCCTTGACGTGCCATTTTAAAGTCTCAGTCTTGTGACTGTCTAATTTGTATAGCGCCTCACAATCACACATAACATAGCAGTGCTGGCTGTCATCCTCTTTTACCACTTCACCAAATCTTTCCCAACATTAGACTACTGTTCTGGCCCTCCCTTCTATTTATCTTCAACTCTCTATTTTGCAGCTTTTCACCAACATTGTCCTTTTTGCCTCAGTGGATCGACTTTAACTTTTTCTGCCCAAGCTCCCAAAAGCATTTGGCAATTGCCGTGTATTTGGCACCCTACAGCTTAGGTTACGCACTAATGCCAGATAAAAAATTATGAAATAAACACCTCAATGTAGGCTATAGATATGAATTGCACAAGAACGATACATTTATGGATTTTTTAATGCGTAGTTTTCTCTTTATTCAACCTGCCAGCTCTGCGGATATAACCGCAGGGACTGCGAGTTATGAGTCAACCCACGCATCACTAGCATGAGCCTTTGTCAGACCTAACTTAATCTTTTGCAATGTGTGTAAATAATTTTGAGAAACAGAAAGACATTGGTTTGTTATCAGGGGCAGTTTCTTGCGACCAGACTGAACTCTGAGACAGGTGGGTGGTCCTTCACCTTGTCCCAGGTTGCTTTGCGTCGCTGTAGTCCTACTGGGGGGGAATAAGAGGGGTTAATCACTCCCAGGAGATGTTGGACCCCCAAAGTGATCGACAGTCATCCCATCTCTTCACTGCATCTGCACATTGTAAAATGTAGCCACTGCTTAGATCTACGGATGTTACTCATCCCTAAATTACTGTAATTTCCATGGAGAGAAACACAGGGCTCACAGCAGACGGATGAAAGGGGCTGGGACTTTTCCCTTTACTGGCCTGTTGGACTTTCACTGCAACTCAAAGTATGGCTTCTGAGTCGCATGTACTCTCACTGTGATATTTTCTTATGAGAAACACATTTACACTCATGAGCTCCTCTCCAGCTATCCTCTTGATTCTTTCACAGAACATCCATGGGAAAGTCCCCTCATTTCCCATTAGACAATCATGTGATATGAGCTTGTATGTCTCTTGAAATTCCCTGCTTCGGATGGCAGAGCCAAGCCGAGCATGAGCACTGTGATGTTAGTTCAGTGATGGTTACTGTCTGTCTGGGTGGGTGGAGATGAGATGTTACCCATATTCCTCCATTTAAGAGCATTGGTAGGTTCCAGTGGTTGAATGCTGACATTCCTCCAGGAGATTGGAGTGATTAACGGTTAATTTATGACCAGTGTGAGGGGCATCTGGCAGCCTGCATCTGCCTACAATCATTTAGTGGTCCTCTGTAGCTCAATTGGTAGAGCATGGCGCTTGTAACGCCAGGGTAGTGGGTTCGATCCCCGGGACCACCCATACGTAAAAATGTATGCACACATGACTGTAAATCGCTTTGGATAAAAGCGTCTGCTAAATGGCATATTATTATTATATTATTTAGTGTGTCATAGCCAAACCAGGGCCTTAATTACAGTACACCACTTCTCATTCCAAATCCTCAATACTTTAAAATTAGCTTTTGATAATGGAGCGCTGGTATGATCATTTTTAACCCAATCTTATAGAGGGATTAGAGGCCTAAAGGCTCCTTCTGGACATTTTGCCATTAGAGATGGATGTCAGTGTAGGGACATCTTGCCAAGTGATTTGAGTCTTTTATATGTTGTTTTCATGTCTCAAGCACACATTCAATTTGAAGAATTTAGATTTGGCTGATGTGCTTTGCATGTAACTTGGCTGGAGTCCCCAATCTTAGCAGCCAATCGGTTATAGTGAACTGCTCTGCCTCCTCCAAACCATCATCACATACGATACAGCCCAAAGGTTGAAAGATTATCCATTTCCCCCTCTCCTGTCAAATAATGTGTGCTTCCCAAATCATAGCTTGTTGTATTGAGATGAGTATCTAATAAAATCCTCAGCTGGAGTGAACCCAATACAATGGGTCCCCAGGAGCAAGGTTGTGAAACCTGCCTTAGAGGAAAGAAGTTTCACAGGAAGGAAGTGAGGGAAGGGATGAGTTCATTGTATTAGGGTGTTGTTGAGAGAAAGCCAAAGACCATGACAGATAAAGCGAGAAAGAAAGTGAGCTAGTTTTGGTGATGGATGCTTTCAGTTCTCTGGTATTGTGCTGGAGTATACATGGATGTGCATGTGTATATGTTTGTTTAGTGTCTGGGTATGTTTGTGTGGCTTTGGGTGGGGCACTGAGTTATGACTACATGTTCAGGAATGAAGAGGGCGGTGCTAGTTCTTTGCAGAGGCAGTGAAGTTTGGTTGAGAGGTAGGATAGGAGGGGGTTGAGTGGGCTGGGCTCAGAGCTTCCGCACACCCTAACATTGAGAGAAGGGCATGATCAAAAGTGTTGAAGTCAATTGAAACCAATGGTGCAATGCTTGTGTACAATTGATGTAGCAATTGGAATAGACAATGGTGAAGTATTTATACAAAGGTTTCTCCTCAGTGAGTGGAATTGCTAGTATTGTGTTACGTTAATATGATAGTATTTGTATAATTGACTCCTTTTCTCCATCTCATTCTCTCTCTCTCTCTCTTAGGGAGTAGGTCTAGTGTGAGGTGGGATGTCTAGCCGTGAATCTTTGGGGGACCTGATCCCCCAGGACCTGGCGGAGGTGTTTGCCCACGAGAGGCTCACCAAAGGGGGCCGAAGGAAGAAACGTCGGGGCTCCCTGGGCCGGGCATTCAGCTGGCTCAAAGGGAAGAAGAAGAAGGACGTCAATGCCAACGGACAAAGCCAGGACTTTCATCCAGGCGGGCCAATGATGGGCAGGACCTCCGCACAGGGCCACAGCCATGGTAAGATCCACCAGGGAATCTAAGAGATTATTGCCATGTAGATCCTCACTCTCCACTCTGACTATGTTTAACATTGTTTAGAAATTAAAATATGTTTACTGCTCTCTCTCTTTCTAGACAGTATTTGAAGATGTGGCTTAGACTGTATATTGTTGTGTGTGAACTATAAATGTTGTTTGTTTGTTTGTTGGTATCATTTCAAGTGGAGGTAGGTGGCTATTTTCTACTATAGTCTAGTCTCTAGAAAGTGCCCATCCCACATTGGAGTTGGGTGTTCAGAAACAGTTCAATATCCTGGTCTTGTGCGCCAAGGCATGTTTGCTCTCTGGAGGACTGTTTGAACAGTCTCTGACTCACAAGCTGCCCTTTGACCTCCCCCAGCCATTGTATGCTGTGAACAAATCTCCATCAGTCCTGTTCTGTGTTACCCAAACAACCTCCAGCACTCCGTGTTCAGGTTACACACAGGTCGAGATTCCATACTGTCAAACACGGAAGTAGACTCACAGAGGGGATGAAATATGACACGTTAAAACATACAGAAACGTACACATTAAGACATGCATAAACTTACACACGTTTAGACATACATAAATGTATGTTTAAGTATACAGAAACGTACCCCCCTTTAAGACATAACAAACTAATACACAATACACTCAGCTGGCTGAATATGCTGTTCAGGTATTAGTCTTATTGGAGTGTGTGCATGTGCATTTAATGAGAGAATGTTGAACAGTATCAGGCCTTCAATGTTTTCTCAGTGTACTGTATCCTGTGGTATTGCCACATTTTTCAGTGATGTTTTCAATGATTATGAGTTACTGTAAATGCCAGTTTCACTTTCAAATTCCGCTAAATGTAATGTTTGGAAAATCACACCTACAGTCCAAATTATGCAAGCAGCACCACACAGAAACAAACACACACAGGCCAACAAACACACACAGGCCCATTTGTTAATTCGTAGCGTGCTCATTTGAGTCAGCTCTTGCAAGAGCACAATAGGCCTGCTCTGTTTATTAAGAGCTGATCCAGGTGTGTTTATCTGTTAGTTCTAGTGCAGTTTTGGCTAATTGCTCCATAGACTAGAGTGAACCCACCCCTCCCTGCAGTCACACAGCTGAAAACACAGAGCTGCTAGCTGAAGTGGAAAGGTGTTTGTGGTAGTAGGGCCCACTGGAAATCCCCAATGTCTCTCACAATCAAAACATACTCACGCATGAACATAAATACACACAGGGGTGCGCACACTAGTGATGGTGTAAAAATCGATAGTTACATATCACAATATTATTTTTGGATGATATATTGATATTTGACTCCCAAGTATCGATTTGTTGCTACTGTAGGTAGCGTTAGTTAGCGCTATTCGGCTGCACCTGCGCCAAAACTCCAGTATTTTTCATTCTTCATCTTTTTAAATAGTGAGCAAAAATGTTTTCAGCACTTTTATTTCCCTTACTTATCAAAACTTGTTTTCTCATGTTCTCTCTTGTCTCTGCAGCAGACAGACTGTATAGTGAGCAATATGTTTGGAACATCAAATCGCAATATAATCACAGTATTGAATCGCAATAGGGGGCAGGGAATCGTTAGGGCGGCAGGTAGCTTAGTGGTTAAGAGCGTTGTGCCAGTAACCGAAAGGTCGCTGGTTCTAATCCCCGAGCCGACTAGGTGAGAAATCTGTCGATGTGCCCTTGAGCAAGGCACTTAACCCTAATTGCTCCTGTAAGTCGCTCTGGATAAGAGCGTCTGCTAAATGACTAAAATGTAAATGCAATACATATAGAATCATGTATCTTCACAAAGATTGAATGGTTATGGGTCTGAATAAATAACTGCATTAGCCTACCGCTATCGCGCGCGTTCGCTCTTCTTTCAAACTATCTGTGAGTTTTATTGGCTGCTGTATTTAACATTCAGCAAAAAAGAGCTTGCGTCCCTATTCGAATAGTCTATTGGTATAAGAAATGCAAAAATATATGTCCAGCAAGCTATTCTAGTCGAGCTTTTCCTGCATTTGGACTCCAAGAGCAAAGGAGCGTTTTTTAAGGAAAGGCCAGCAGAGCACAGGTGCTTGCGTATTGAGCAAGAGACAGAGGCTATAAGTTAGAAGGTTATTATGCATAACCCATAATTAATTAGCAAAATATAAGGCTAATACTGCATTGAATGTATTACCTGAAAGAGGTAGGCTAGGACATCCTATATATCAATCTAGAACAGGATTATCTATTTTGGATGCAATTTGAATGGAGTTGATGGAGAAGGAGAGACTGCGTGAGAGTGCTCGCGCGTGCACTGATTTAAAGCAACGATATTCGAGTGATAGGCTGTTTTTAAAACTCTGCAGCTGCAATTTAAAAATAAAATATTCTTTACAATTAAAAAACAAGGTGGCCCCTGAAAGCCAGATGGAGTTGGGTAAATTAGATGCGCATTCGGTCTTTATATTACTTTAGCATAGGCTATGATGCAGCAAATTTACATTTTTACATTTTAGTCATTTAGCAGACACTCTTATCCAGAGCGACTTACAGTTAGTGAGTGCATACATGTTTTCATACTGGCCCCCCGTGGGAAATGAACCCACAACCCTGGCGTTGCAAGCGCCATGCTCTACCAACTGAGCTACAGGGGACTACCTGTCACAAGAAATAAAGTTACCATGAGATGATAGGTCTACATGCATTGTGAACTGTGCTCCATACTGAGATGGGCTGTCTGGCCCCACCATGAGTATTGATTAATCATGCAGAGGCCGTAGAGAAGCCAGATTTAGACATTGCATATTATTTAACAGTTCCATGCTGTTCACATAAATAATTTATTATAATTGACCCGTTTCTCACAGTTATTTATCCCGGGAAAAGGGAGTGGTTTTGGGCGGTAAATCTCGGTAACCGGGATTCCACCATTCAACCCTAGTGCCTATTCATCATGTTAGTGGTGTGCTGTTAAGAGCTCTGTGAGAGAATGTAAACTGTCAGTGGGGGAGATTAGGTGTTTCTCCCCTGCCAAGGTCAGCATGGGGTACCTACCTCCCCACATTGTGCACAGCAGGGCAGAGGCCTCCCATGGAAGGTTTTCCTCAGGGTTTCCCCTTCAAATCTATTTTAACCCAGTTCAGAGTTTAGTGTTCCCATTTGGGTGTTACCAATAGGTGGGGCTACAAAATGAATGGACTTCTGCCCTCCAGTGGTGTACAGCTGTAATACCTGGAAAGGTTACATAATGTTGACCTATCTGTTGAAGGAGATTGAGAAGGGAAAGTTTGTAGCCTGAGCAGGGGTGCTGTGTCAAACGGTGGGATATTGCTGTAGTTCTAGTTGTGTGAGCTGATTACTCACGGATGCAGCAGTAATGAAGTGGTAAAGAGGTAAAGCTTCCCTTCAGGTAATAGATACTATCATAATAAAGAAGTCTTCATTTTTCTATGTGATTTATAGTCCAGCTGTTATTACGCAAGGGAGCCCTCAGCGATGAACACGTGGCCTGGCAAATAACACCAAAAGGCAGTTTGGTTTTACCATCAGCGTGACTGGCTCAAATAAGAAAGCAACTAAACAATTTACAAGAAAGAAGCATAGTGCCAGGCATCCGATCCTGAAAAGCTCACAATATCACCACTGAAGGTTAAATTCCTCCAGATAAGCCATATTATAATTAATGGCAGCTTATTCTGACGGTGATTAACAGTCATACCAAAGAGGATGGGTCCCATCGCCCACCCCAGGCCTGGCATGGGCAGAGGGCTGGTGTTGGCATGCACCCAGTTAATTAAAACCCCAGCCAGAACACTTACAGTAAGTAGAAACAAGGGGTTCTGTTTCTTATGACCCAGCTCTCCCTCACATAGATCCCTCCCCCCTCACCCTCCTATGAATGAGATTAAATAGGTTTCCTTCAGAGATCAAAACGTGTCTGGCTGGGGATTGTGTGTGTTGGTGTATCCAAGCAATGCTAATATTATAAACCTCAGTCTAACAGACAGTTGATGTGTGTCCTGAAACAATGTTCTCAATGGAATGGGGAATGAGAGGCGATCTACAGTGGTTTGTTTAGCGTTGTTAGGGTGTCATGGACATATGGCCTCTTGTTCAGAACTTTTGTTGAGAAATTGAGGCCATGTTTTGTAAATCTTTCTTCCAGTGCAACTCCCTTCAAATAGTATGTTTACCCCACCTTTCCTCTTGGTGGGAATGTATTGGTAAACATGGACCATAGAGTTTAACCCAGACATCATGTTTGAGTGCACAGTAGCTAGTAGAGATGTGTGCTCCTGGACCCTCCATTGTAATGTGGGTTAACCCACTGGCCCAGTAACTGTGTTGACACAGCCTCCTGTGATGACCTGTGATGACCCGGACAATGCCTCACATAGGCCTGGGACACACAATCCCATAGGCTACTGACCCTTTGTGTGTTTGCTGTACATGCGTGATTTACCTGTGGGCACTGCACGCTTCACCTGCATGTGCCTCAGTGCTTCTACCGTGTGTTATTTGCCTTCATTGCCCAGTTGGTCCTGTAAGCCACCTAGGAAAGCCAGGCTGTTAGCTAGCCTAATGCTGCTGTTGTCGCTCATATCTTGTGCTCTCTACAGCTGAACTTCAACAGGCTCACACTAATCTGACTGATAGGGGTATAAGGAGAGGGGGAGTGATGCCAGAGTGATATGGTGCTACTGTTAACTTGGCACCTGTAGAAGGTCACCTGGATTCTTGATCTGTAGACGTTATACTCTCACCCGGAGATTCCATGCATTCCTCAGCTCTACACACACTATTCCTCTGAGCCCAGAGAATGGTGCCCCTTTGTACGGGTGAGTCAAAAGTTATCACAGAATTTTTTTTTTCTTTCTAGTTCTTCTAAAGTTTGCATGATTTTGCCACACCTGGACAATGCCCTGCAATATTGTAGTCATACAGGAGTACAGGAGGAGTACTGTACAGTATTTCAGCATGACTTTCAATGTTGTCTTACATACAGTTGATCAGCTGCATTTATACACTGTCAGTTTGGCATGACATATAGTTTCATAATGTGAGGGTATGTATGCATGGTTGTGGGTGGCTCTGTACAGCATGGATAAACCTCTGAGTCTTGGATGATCACATAAAGGCTGGGGAGAGCAGGAGAACAGGTTTTAGAGCCTGGATACTGTTTCTCTTTCCTCAGCTTATGTCGGGAATCAAATACACCGCCCTCTTCTGCATTGTTACATTGCCTCTGACTGCTGCAGGAGTTTAACAGAACTTGCTGTGGTGTGTGTGTGTATGCGTGTGTGTGCTTGTCTTTCCTGCTTTGGTCTTATGGGAAGGCCAGGACCTCTACCTTACCACTGTGTGTGAAATACCTGAATGTAACACCAGTCTGTCTGAAAGCAGTCACCGTGACACTTCCCAACGCCCCCTCCAGGGTCATGTACAGGGCCAATGTATGCCTCTTAATGACAGGGGCTGAAACATTCCTTTAGACATTGAGCTAGAGATGTCCATTATTTTCTGTGCAACAGCTCAAGCTCAGCCTGTCGCTTGTAGGATTTTGTTTCCTGCCTAGTAATTAACAATACAGATGAATGGGAAAAAGTTGTATGACATAGCATGTAATAACATTTTCAATTTGAATATTTGGGAATATTAGTCAGCACATCCTGATTTTGAAGAGGTCAGATTTTTTTATATAAAGTGCCAGCATGCATGCCCTCTAGTCCTATTTCTATAATGTGTTGGATTTCATCACTCATTTCACTCTTTGTAAAAGTCTAATGCTTAGTCTAATCATTACCTGGTCAAGCCTCATGGCGATCAACAAACACGATTATTTACTAAATAATATAGCATTTATTGTAATGTAACACAGATGCGTTACGTTACCCCGGCTACTCACACCCTTCAGACTATTGTCACGGCAGGAAAACCCTTTCAAACTCTGCCAGCCCACACAGAAAGTTGTGAGTGATAAATGGATATTGTGGAAATACGTACATATTTTTAGATGACAGTATCTTTATGCACGACTTCATGGCATGCTAGATAAATGGAACCATGCAGCTTTTGATCATGTCAATCCCACTCTGACAAAATGGTAGCTTAAAGTCAAGGTGGTTAAACTGGTAATAGTTTTTCCCTCCCAGAACACAATGTTCTATTCATGTCCTCTCAAAGACTGAGGTAGTGATAAGCAGCATGTACATGTGCACACAAAGAGATACCTGCCCAGTGGAAACCACCCAGCACACCCATTGTGCTTCTGCTGCTACGCCCATGGTAGCTTACTGAGCTTACTGCCTTCTGCAGGCATTGTGCATGGTAGAACACTGGTCTCAAATCAGTTTTTGCTTGTCTTATATGCTCCCAGACTAGATCTCCACACCATTTTCCAAACGAACAGGTAATAACGTAATAATATGCATAGACCTTCAATACAGAAAAGGTTATGCTTTTAATATAGCTAATATGAAGAGTTCTCCAATAACCAGACATTCTTTACAGAACAGCTTGCCATAAGATATCTGTAAATCATGGAAGCCTAACACTTGTCCTTGAGGGCATAGTGTCTATTGATAGTCTGGGAAATTCTCCCTGCTAGTCTAGTAATGTAGATGTTGAGCTCCTAATGTAGTGTGACCTGCCTGTCAGTAGGGGCCTACCAGAGCTGTGCCTTCCTGAAGTGTGCGTGCCCTAGCAGGTCTGACTCTGCATGTTTCACATTCTCCTTCATTCTCCTCCATTCCTTTTTAATGGGATTTTATCCGGCGCTTATCACTAGCTAAGCCCTTGCTGTGGTGCTGACTGGCAGGAAAGTGGGATACAGAAAGTTCAGTCACTCCTGACCTTTAAGTGTTTTTAATTAGAGAACCACAGGGAAGTACTCTGTACACATGACCTCTGGCCTTAATTGGTGTAATTACTGTGATTATTACATGTTTACTGTGCCTGGCTACTAATTCTGAAATGTTGTGTGAGCCTAAGTCATTGTGTGTGTGTGTACGTGCGCGGGTGACACGCGTTTGAGTGAAGTTTAATGTGTACAGCCGTGGTCAAAAGTTGACCACGACTGTACAGTATGACACAAGTATTGGTCTTCACAAAGTTTGCTGCTTCAGTGTTTTTTTAGTTATTGTTTTCAGATGTTACTATGGTATACTGAAGTATAATTACAAGCATTCCATAAGTGTCAAAAGGATTTTATTGACAATTACATTAAGGTTATGCAGAGTCAATATTTGCAGTGTTGACCCTTCTTTTTCAAGACCTCTGCAATCCGCCCTGGCATGCTGTCAATTAACTTCTGGGCCACATCCTGACTGATGGCAGGCCATTCTTGCATAATCAATGCTTGGAGTTTGTCAGAATTTGTGGGTTTTTGTTTGTCCACCCGCCTCTTGAGGATTGACCACAAGTTCTCAATGGGATTAAGGTCTGGGGAGTTTCCTGGCCATGGACCCAACATTTCGATGTTTTGTTCCCCGAGCCACGTAGTTATCACTTTTGCCTTATGGCAAGGTGCTCCATCATGCTGGAAAAGGCATTGGTCGTCACCAAACTGTTCTTGGATGGTTGGGAGAAGTTGCTCTCGGAGGATGTGTTGGTACCATTCTTTATTCATGATTGTGAGTGCAGAATATCAGTCTGTCCCAGGAAAAACATTAAATTTTTTACATTTTAGTCATTTAGCAGACGCTCTTATCCAAAGCGACTTACAGTTAGTGAGTGCAAACATTTTCATACTGGTCCCCCGTGGGAATCGAACCCACAACCTTGACATAGTCCCGTGTAGCTCAGTTGGTAGAGCATGGCGCTTGCAACGCCAGGGTTGTGGGTACGATTCCCACGGGGGACCAGTATAATGTTTTTCCTGGAGAGAAGTGGCTTTCTCGCTGCCCTTCTTGACACCAAGCCATCCTCCAAAAGTATTTTGCTCACTGTGCGTGCAGATGCACTCACACCTGCCTGCTGCCATTCCTGAGCAAGCTCTGCACTGGTGATGCCCCGATCCCGCAGCTGAATCAACTTTAAGAGACGGTCCTGGCGCTTGCTGGACTTTCTTGGGCACCCTGAAGCCTTCATCACAACAACTGAACCTCTCTCCTTGAAGTTCTTGATGATCTGATAAATGGTTGATTTAGGTGCAATCTTACTAGCAGCAATATCCTTGCCTGTGAAGCCCTTTTTGTGCAAAGCAATGATGACGGCACGTGTTTCCTTGCATGTAACCATGGTTAACAGAGGAAGAACAATGATTTCAAGCACCACCCTCCTTTTAAAGCTTCCAGTCTGTTATTCTAACTCAATCAGCATGACAGTGATCTCCAGCCTTGTCCTCATCAACACTCTCACCTGTGTTAACGAGAGAATCACTGACATGATGTCAGCTGGTCCTTTTGTGGCAGGGCTGAAATGCAGTGTAAATGTTTTTGGGGGATTAAGTTCATTTTCATGGCAAAGAGGGACTTTGCAATTAATTGCAATTCATCTGATCACTCTTCATAACATTCTGGAGTATATGCAAATTGCCATCATAAAAACTGAGGCAGCAGACTTTGTGAAAATTAATATTTGTGTCATTCTCAAAACGTTTGACCACGACTGTATGCTGTGCATGCGTGTGTGCAGACATGTTTAAACCTGAGGGATTGTCATGATCTGTAGGTGAAATAGACTGGAACGAGGCAGACCAGACATGCAAGTACACTATACAGTGCATTCAGAAAGTATTCAGACCTCTTCCCTTTTTCCACATTTTGTTACGTTACAGCCTTATTCAAAAATTTATGAAATATCAATCTACACACAATACCCCATAATGACAAACGCGAAAACAGGTTTTTAGAAAATTTTGCCCCCCCCCAAAAAAGGAGGAATGTCCCAGCCAGAGCCCGGACTTGAACCCGATCGAAAATCTCTGGAGAGACCTGAAAATAGCTGTGCAGTGACGCTCCCCATCCAACCTGAGCTTGAGAGGATCTGCAGAGAAGAATGGGGGAAACTCCCCAAATACAGGTGTGCCAAGCTTGTAGCGTCATATCCAAGAAGAATCAAGGCTGTAATTGCTGCCAAAGGTGCTTCAACAAAGTACTGAGTAAAGGGTCTGAATACTTACAGTACCAGTCAAAAGTTTGGACACACCTACTCATTCAAGGGTTTTTCTTTATTTTTACTATTTTCTACATTGTAAAATAATAGTGAAGACATCAAAACTATGACATTTTACATTTACATTTTAGTCATTTAGCAGACGCTCTTATCCAGAGCGACTTACAGTTAGTGAGTGCATACATTTTTCATACTGGCCCTCCATGGGAAATGAACCCACAACCCTGACGTTACAAGCGCCATGCTCTACCAACTGAGCTACAGGAGGCCTGAAATATCACACATGGAATCATGTAGTAACCAAAAAAGTGTTAAACAAATACAAATATATTTTATATTTGAGATTCTTCAAATAGCCACCCTTTGCCTTGACGACAGCTTTGCGCACTCTTAGCATTCTCTCAACCAGCTTCACCTGGATTGCTTTTCCAACAGTCTTGAAGGAGTTCCCACGTATGCTGAGCACTTGTTGGCTGCTTTCCTTCACTCTGCCATCCGACTCATCCCAAACCATCTCAATTGGGTTGAGGTTGGGGGATTGTGGAGGCCAGGTCATCTGATGCACCACTCCATCACTCTCCTTCTTGGTAAAATAGCCCTTACACAGCCTGGAGGTGTGTTGGTTCATTGTCCTGTTGAAAAACAAATGATAGTGGTTTCTTTGCAGCAATTCAACCATGAAGGCCTGATTCACATAGTCCCCTCTGAACAGTTGATGTTGAGATGTGTCTGTGACTTGAACTCTGAAGTATTTATTTGGGCTGCAATTTCTGAGGCTGGTAACTCTAATGAACTTATCATCTGCAGCAGAGGTAACTCTGGGTCTTCCATTCCTGTGGTGGTCCTCATGAGAGCCAGTTTATCACAGCGCTTGATTAGGTTTTGTGACTGCACTTGAAGAAACTTTCAAAGTTCTTGAAATTCTCTTAAAGTAATGATGGACTGTCGTTGCTCTTTTGCTTATTTGAGCTGTTTCTGCCATAATATGGAGTTGGTCTTTTAACAAATAGGGTTCTGTATACCCCCCCTACCTTGTCACAACACAACTGATTGGCTCAAACGCATTAAGAAGGAAAGAAATTCCACAAATTAACTTTTAACAAGGCACACCTGTTAATTGAAATGCATTCCAGGTGACTACCTCATGAAGCTGGTTGAGAGAATGCCAAGAGTGTGCAAAGCTGTCATCAAGACAAAGGGTGGCTATTTGAAGAATCTCAAATATAAAATATATCTTGATTTGTTTAACACTTTTTTGGTTACTACATGATTCCATATGTGTTATTTCATAGTTTTGATGTCTTCATTATTATTCTACAATTTAAAAAAAATTAGTAAAAATAAAGAAAAATCCTTGAATGAGTAGGTGTGTCCAAACTTCTGACTGGTAGTGTACATAAATATGTTTTAGCGAAGGATCCAAAAATAGCTTTAAAACATCAGGTTTTGTTCAAATAACCAACTGCTCCACTTTGAGTAGATAGACAATTGAATTTACAAGACTTGCAACAGGAGATATATAGGCAATATAATACATGTTTCAAATATGAACTTTTACATTCCATTGGTTTGCTGCTTTAAACATTTTCTGATATGATTTTATAGATAGATTTTTTGTTCAACCATTTTGGCACAGTGAGTCAACTACCCAAACCAGATGCAACTGGTTTGAAGAGGCCAATAGACGTCATGTGATCTCGTACTGCTAGTGGATGAACTGAGAATCAGACGGGGGGATATATTTACATCAATGGATAGGTAGAGACTTCAGCTTTCTCCTCATATGTACGCTGAGTGGAACACCTTCCTAATATTGAGTTGCGCTCCCCCTCCCCCCTTTTATCCTCAGAACAGCCTCAATTCGTTGGGGCATGGACTCTGCAAGGTGTCGAAAGTGTTCCACAGGGATGCTGGCCCATGTTGACTCCAATGCTTCCCAAAGTTGACAAGTTGGCTGGATGTCCTTTGGGTGGTGGACCATTCTTGATACACATGGAAACTGTTGAGTGTGAAAAAGCCAGTAGCGTTGCAGTTCTTGACACAAACTGGTGCGCCTGGCAATCCATGTCTCAATTGTCTCAAGGCTTAAAAACCCTTCTTTAACCTGTCTCCTCCCCTTGAACTACACTGATTTTTAAGTGCATTTAACAGGAGACATCAATATGGGATCATAACTTTCACCTGGTCAGTCTATGTCATGGAAAGAGCAGGTGTTCTTAATGTTTTGTACACTCAGTGTATATCATTCCTGTAAGACGAGAAATGAAGGCATGGCACATTGCACAAGCCCTGCGCTTTTTATTTAAATGTTTTATCCTTTTGGAACAGTAATTGGTGAAATATTTTATTTTAAACCTAGACTTTCAAATCTATTATTCCCCAACATGGGGGATCCCCTCCCGCCCTCAAAGAAAAAACAAACAGAAGAACGGTACATTTCAGGGGTATTTGGCCCACTGTATCTCTGCCTCTGTAGTAGTCACACAGTTCCCCACAGTTCTTACCTTTTCTAACAGTATTAAGCATGTGTTTGTAGGACTCATAGCTTTGAAACCGAAATGTACTTTATGTGGTTAGTATACAATATTATGCGGTGTTTAGAAAATGCCATCAGAGGGCGTCAGATTTTAAGAGGTTAATAGACGCAATTGATCTTATTTCAAGAAATGCTAAGATATTTTACCTTAAAAAGTAAGGTAAAATATCTTAGCATTTCTTGAAATAAGATGAATTACTTGTATTATACCTTAGGTTAATATAAGTAACATTATATCTGCCAATGACGTAACATAATTTAGTATATATAAGAATACAATTCATATTTTAAGTGAATTATCATTCAATATAAGATATTAAGGCTTACTTAGATTGTCACTGTTTGCAATGTACCGACTTACAGTGCTTAAAAAATTATTTGCCCCCTTTTCTAATTTTCTCTACTTTTGCATATTTGTGATACTGAATGTTATCAGATCTTCAACCAAAACCTAATATTAGATAAAGGGAACATAAGTGAAACCAAACTCTGCATTCCACAGTAAGAACATCATACCAAAGGTCAAGCATGGTGGTGGTGGTGTGATGGTTTGGGGATGCTTTGCTGCCTCAGGACCTGGACGACTTGCCTTAATAGAAGGAACCATGAATTCTGCTCTGTATCAGAGAATTCTACAGGAGAATGTCAGACCATCCGTCTGTGAGCTGACCATCCGGTCATGCAGCAAGACAATGATCCAAAACACACAATCAAGTCTACATGAAAATTGCTAAAAAGCAACAAATTGGAAGTTTGGAATGGCCTAGTCAAAGTCCAGACCTAATCCCAATTGAGATGTTGTGGCAGGACTTGAAACGAGCAGTTCATGCTTGAAAACCCATACGTCACTGAGTTAAAGCAGTTCTGCATGGAAGAGTGGGCCAAAATTCCTCCACAGTGACGTGAGAGACTGATCAACAACTACAAGAAGCATTTGGTTGGAGTCATTGCAGCTAAAGGTGGCACAACCAGTTATTGAGTGTAAGGGGGCAATTACTTTTTCACACAGGGGAATTGGGTGTTGCATAACTTTGTTTATGAAATTATGTAATTGTTGTGTTATTTGTTCACTTATGTTCCCTTTATCTAATATTAGGTTTTGGTTGAAGATCTGATAACATTCAGTATCACAAATATGCAAAAGTAGAGAAAATTAGAAAAGGGGCAAATACTTTTTCATAGCACTGTACCTGCCTACCTACCTACCTCACATGAGAAGTCATCTTCATCGTAAGAGTGCACTGTTGAATGTTTATGTTCCTTATTCCTTTCACTGGAGGCCAGGAGAAAACTCAGCCGACCACAAGCTTAGACCTGGACTCATAAATACTCTTACACACAGTCACTCGAGGTCACAACCTTCTCCCACTGTGTCATCGTACTGCTTTGTTCTCCTCTCCTTTAAAAGAGCCTTTAGGACCTGGCTGGGCTGATAGACCGCAGCAGATAGAACACTCACAGCAGCACAGAATGTCTATCTGTGCATGACTCTCTCAAAACAACAGAGAGGGGCATGTTCGTGCCGGGTCAGCTGTGTGTGCGTGTGCGTGCTCCAAGATTATTATAGTAAACGAAAACTGAAACTAAAGTGAAAACTAAAATTGGAAAACTATACTGAAACTATTATATTTGACTGCAAACCAAACTAAAATAAAAACCATCATCAAGCTTTTTTTTCTAGTGGGGTTTTCAAGCTTCTGAATCTGGCGGGTAAATGCTGCCAGCAGAGGACAATGTTTCACATATGCCTAGCTTGTGTATCACTAGCTATCAGTAGCTAACAGGGAGGAAATCCGAGGGCGAGCGCGGAGCATGAGTGTGAACCATAGGCATGTACAATGGAGGCAGCAAACCCAACACCAGCAGTGGTCAGTCGCAAAAGGCAAAGCCTTGTATGGGATTATTTGGAGTATATTGCTGGAAAGGACAAAAGCAAATGTAGTGTCAGAAGATGGCAGCATGTGTGGAACAGAGACAAAAGGGAAAAACCCAACCAACCTCAAAGTTCATCTGAACAGCACCCACAAAGGATTTCAGGATAAAGTCAAGGTGAGACAGCTATTATTTTAGTTTCGGACCCTAACCCCTATAAGTTCTTAGAAGAACCACTTTTAATGAACCTTTTGGGGTACATTTTATGAACTACACTCTGACTGTGTTATTATTAATAATACATATAACAATAACACAATATTTTAGTTCTCAGTGTTTATTATGATTTTAGTGGCAAAGCAGAATAACAAACTCCCAGCAGAGCCCCAAGTCCAATGGGTGTATCCTCTGGTGTTCTGATGTTAATGTATTGATGTTCTCCGTATCCATAGCCAGAATGATTTTGCAGTGCATGGTGATCGAACAGGTTTCCTGTTATATTCATCAGAGGTGTACGGAGGGTGAAGTCTGTGAATCCAAAAAAATGTAATTATAAAGATGATTAACAAAACATGCACATGACAGTATTCATACCTTGGTTTTTGTGGTGAATGTGAATGAAAAAAACTGTTTTGAAAATGGTTTTCATACACATACCTTGTCCATAATGTAGAGTCCTATGGGATATTCATTGAAGAGGTAAGGGAGGAGGATGGTAAATGTGATCTGCATAACATACCAATACCAATTGACATGCCTTTGTATGCCTCCATGTCTGTATACCTGCAGACACAGACACAAAAGGGAGCAGTTCAGTCATCTGCACCCAATACAGCTAGCCTTCAACATATTCTTATAACCTACATATTCTTACCTCTTTGTTGATTGATATCCATTGAATTGTGTCCATTTTCTGTTTTAGAAAGATTTACACAAATATGAAAAGATAGATGGTATCATCATAAAACAATATCAATTTAGATCATACAAGGGACAAACCTTACCTTAAATTGAGGCGATCTTTATATTTGTCAGTTAAGTGCATGCACCTGCTGTCCTTTCAAATTCAAATCCAAATGATTCAGTTGGGCAGTTAGGTTCCTGGAAGAACCCCCATCAACTAAGAAGGTTCCTCGATGAACCCCACCTCCTATGGGGTTCTTGGAATAACCTTTTGGGGGCCATTTTCAGTGCCATGAACCCTAAGGTTCTTCAAAGAACTTTGAGGATCTTAGAAGAACCCTTGTTGAACCCCTAATTTTTAGTGTGTATAGCCATAGAAGCACTGTGACATATGCCTTAATGCGGTCATATTCGTGGTTTATTGGGGGTGTGGCTTTCAGTTAGTTATTTTTGGCCACCCATCCCATGAGAGTGAATTTCATTCCAGTTCATCTGAATGTCATTCCAGTGCACTGCTTGCTATGAATTCTATCTGATGGTGTTTAGGTAAAAATACAAATGTATTTTGTTGTTGTTGTTGCTTAATCTAATCTGATTGGCCCACCCGTGCCTACTTGGCTGAAGAAGGTTTTGAACAGTTTGGGGTCGCATGGGTTGCGAGGTGGGGGTTTGTTACTACGCCGATTTAAATGACAATATCCATCCGGAGCTTTGCCACCTAGGACATTTGTGTGACCGGACCATCTCAAGTAGTACTGGAGTACCCCTGCTATAGGCCTACAACACATAAATGGCTCCTAGCCTCCCATGCATAAGGCTACTTTCTGTCACTAACACTAAAACTGAAACTAAATAATATAAAAGCGAAATATAAATGTTTTTATCAAACTGAAACTGAATAAAAACTGGTAAATCAAGTCTGAAAACGAACTGAAACTAAACAGAATTTCAAATGAAAAGCTAAAAACTAATAGAAATAAAAACTAATAGAAAATCACAAAACTATAATAACCTTGGTGTGCTCACTAAATGAAGTCTCTGTCTGTGTCAGAGTGTATCAGCACCACCCTGATGACTGTGTTAGATCCTGGGTAACAGGCATGAACTCGTTCTGCTGATTTCCCTCAGCCTAATCTGACTCTTTTAAATTTAGTCTGTTACTGGTTGAATAATCATGTTATTGACTTAATTCCTGAAAGACCTAGCAATATATCAATATTCTGTATTATCGACTACTGATGTAACTGTAATGTAATGGCACATGGCTACATGCTCAGTATGTGTCGAATGTACAATAATAATATCACCAAAAGTCTGAAATGTTATTTGTTTTCCATTGAGACTGTAAACTGATCTTTGATGTCACAGCATTAATCTGTTGGGTATCATACATATTAGATTGGGTATCGTCACTGTAATCCCTCCCCTCCCCGGTTGTGTGTGTGTGTGTGTGTGTGTGTGTGTGTGTGTGTGTGTGTGTGTTATGACTATTGACTATCTCTGTTTGACTGTTGTATTAATCTTTTAATCTATTTGTCATTTTGGCTGTACCTACATTTCCCATTTTCTCCTCCTGTACCTGTTTTGTCCCTACCTACAAAGGTCTCACCTCTCTCTTTTCTATGAATGACAATGTCATGTTGATTTAAAAACCATAATTAAACAACCAATCTATGCAAAACCTGCTGGACAGAGCCATTGAGCCATTGATTGCCCACGTGAGTCATATTGCGTAAGAAAGCTCCATTCATCCTGGTGAGATACCTGTAGCACTGATGTAAAGGTCGGAGTTCTAGCTACTGTGGCATGATGATAACATGGAAATGTTTTCCGTTTGCTCAGATGTTATACATTCCTCGTTTGCTTACTGCATCAGGAGGTAAATATACCACTTTCCCAGGCGCAGATTGAGGTTCGTACATCACAGTAGTACACATTTTCAGACATGCCCCTCGTGCGAATATGGAATGTCAATTGTAGATTTGCTGATGGGATGTAAAGTAGTAAGAGATATTAGCCTCTCCACAAAATTCTTATCAGCCGTAAATCACAGGGAATTATGTATTCAGTTGATTATTTTAGTCCAGTGAGATCCCATTGACTGTGTTGTTAGATAAAAGTAATTGGGAACATGATTTCATTGTGTAACATTATTCTATTGTGTAACAGACAGATAAAAGTGTTAAGAACATTCTCTCCCAACAGGATCAATCTTGTTTAAATACTGACACCTTCATACTGTCTAGCTCCTTTACTCCACCTTGTGGGGAATGTGTGTGGTGAGAATCGGATTCCTATAGATCTCCTGATCTCATCTGTCAGTTAAACCACAGTAGTTGTCATAAATGCCACAGTAGCTAGTCAGTATGATTTAAATGGTTGCTTCAAGCAGATGAGAGTTTAGAGTGTCTAACCACTATTTCCCTTTGCGTGTGTGTGTTTGAGCGTTTGTGTCTGATCCCAGCATGGTCAGTGTCATAACCACGCTCTGACCAATCCAGGGTCAGCATGTCCACAAACTGAGAGCAGTGGGAATCAGTCGCTCAGGGACATGAGGAGGGGGGTGCTTATTGGAGGGATGGGCAGAATTAGCCTTCTGGGATTAGTGTCTGAGTTCGCATTGTCTAGTGATGGAACCACTAGAACTGGGCAATAACTCAATGAACTGGGTGGTAATAACAACAACAGCAACAAGGGATATCTCTTCTATCCTGATCCACTGAATTATTTTGTCTGTATCGGATGATGATCTACCCTAAAACAAAACAAACTCACTGGGATAGTTTTGAACTCCTGTTTACTTTCGAAGGATAAAATCTGTTTTAATACATTTAGGGGGATTATATTACCATGGTATCTCAGTAGCTATGGTGGTGCTTTTGACTCAGAATGTTTACTGTCTGCCAGTGCCTTTGCTTTTCAAGAGGAAAGGTGAGTTACAGTATAGGCTAAAACAATGGGCTAAGTCCTGGATATTCTCAGACAGCGTTTTCATTTATGATACATACCTTGAATTCCCTTCTTGAAGTTTAATGGCCAAGCAAGTGTTGGCCATAAAACCTTTCTAGGTCCTTTCTAGGTGATAAGGGAAGGGTGGTTAACTGTTTCAATTGATATGAGTAAGACTGTAAAGTGATTAGTTCATATCTGTAGTCATGAAATGTGTTAACTGTTAGCTATCGGGGTGATACAGAGCCCAAATGGACCATTCCATTTGATCTCTTCTTATGATGTTAAAATGTTGTCTAAATGTATTTTGGTGAATGTCTATCACTGAGAGCTTGTAATTCCTTACTTTGCTGGTGTACTGTCACTGTTTCTGCAAAACACTTAATTCATCAATCATTCTGACTGAATTGACAGTTTGTGTGAACTTGTTGTTATTATTAGGAGGATATGGTAAATGTGGTCAATGGTATATTTCCAAAGAAATAAAGAGATGGTGATGTGTATAGCAGCAATCATTTGAGAGCACATGGTTGACAGGACTAATTCCAGCATGGTCCTCCTAGCCCAACAGAGCATGTACAAGACAAGACGTGGCTAAATTTAAAGCAGCTTTGTTTAACTAAAGATGACGGCTTACCACATGGCCACGGATGCCCCACACTCTTAACATCACCTCACTGATCCTAGATGTCAGGACTGCTGTTCTGTAAGGGGTACTACTACACTGCTAGTGTTCTCATGATAACCCTATAACATTGCTTCTCTGAATTATATGAGAGTAGGAATGTTTGGGGAATATACTGGCTGATTATCTCAATGAAGCCTACTGGGACTTGTGGCTAATGTAGTTGATGAATACCATTTAAATGTTGAGGCCAATTATCCAATCTTTTGGGTTGTTGCATAATTTTCATTGCACGTAGCAGCCATTTTTATAGTGAGTTATATAAAGATTGTTTTGGAACAGGATTGATAAGTAGAGACATATCAGTTCACGTTCAACTTTTGTGGATATAATTAATATCCAATTATTTTGATACAATGTAGTTTTGTCAATGATATTGTGCATTTATTTACACATGCTGTAATGAAAATGCATGCATAAATATACACAGTATGTATGTATAGCCACTCATATTCTATCTCTCTCTCTCTCTCCTCCCAGCAGTCCCAAAGCATGAGGATGAGGGGACTCGCGTTCCTCCACACTTCCAGGAGAATGTGTTCATCGAAGGCAGCCGGCCCAAGTACCTGGAGGACCTGCACACTGAGGCCCAGGAGGGACTCAAACTGCAGCAGCAGGAAGGTACTAAACGCCCTGCAAATCCCTCCAAATACTGACACTTACTCCATCACCTACCCCTGATTAGATTAACTCATTAAGTAAAGTTACTGTGGGGCCACTCTATTAGAAATATTTTGACCTTTATTTCAGAAACCAATAATGGGGTAGATTACCAGGATGACCAAAGCGTCACTGTAAGTTTCCCATTCTACATTTCAACCACAGTGCTACATCAAATCACTAAACATTAGTCTATCACAAGTTTACACCAAACCTGCTTTAATTAAGCGTATACTAATGATTTACTGTTGAACTTTCTGGGATTCCTACAGTCGACGGTGACCCGGCAGCCAGACGACACTGAGAGTGACAGTTATAGTGAGAGGAGAGGCTATCTTTCAGACAGCACCATACCAGACACTGTGTCCCAGGTCTCAACACGCTCCACTGTCTCCACACGGTCCTCACGGTCAGGACTGACCCGCCAAGGTAACCTGACATGACCATAACCAGAGAATGATTCATACTGGAACCACTATAAAACCTTGTCCAACCACTGATTGTTGGTGTTGCTAATTTTGACCTAATATTTCTCTCCTGCTTTTTGTCTCTTTCCCCAGCATCAACATTCAGGCCCCTGAAGCCAGAGAAGGCCAAGGCCAGGAGGAGACACAGGAGAACCACAGTTATGGGGATACCACAACACATCCAGAGGGAACTGGGTAAGCTACTCATTATTTATGCTCTAAGTGAATTGAAATGTGTCAATATAGGCCATTGTGAAGATACCTGTGGATAATTTCACTCTTAATACAAGCACATACTCTTCTATTGGCTTGTGTAGCTGTATATGAACCTATCCTGATTTGTCCTGTTCCTCACTTAAGGGCTGGACAGAGCATCATGGGCAGGTCGTCAGGTTATAGACAAGGATGGGCTCCCTAACGGTGAGAGTCTGGACTTCCCCACCATCGATGGGACTCACCTGGCTGGTTCCGAGGAGGGGGTGAGGATGTACCTCCAGTCTGTAGAAGGCCTGCAACCCGTCAGTGAGGACCAGATCCAGAAGTTCCCCTCCCGGGCCGGACACAGGGACGACCTTGCTCTCCTCCAGCGCATGGGCCCCCAGCAGTCCGGCCTGAAGAGGCCCAAGTCCCTGGCTGTCCCCTGGATGACCACAGCCTCTAGCCTGCAGCAGCTGCACCCCAACCCCGTCATGTCCATGTCCCCCCAGGCCACCTACATGTCTAAGATCATCCCCAATGCTGTCCTGCTACCTTCCATAGATGTGGTGGAGATCACCCGGAACCGCAGTCGGAGCAGCGTTCGTACCGTCAGTAAGAGCAGCCTGCTGCTGGTCAGCCCTGCCTCCTCCAGAGCCTCCTCCAGAGCCTCCTCCAGAGCCTCCTCCCGCGCTTCCTCCCACGCCTCTACCATGTCCTCCGCCTCCCGTTACAACCCATCACACTTCTCTGACAGCTCTGGATGGAGCCACTCTGAGTCCTCTGAGACACTGGTGTCTGACTCCTCCACCATCTCCTCCAACAGCACCACCAGGCAGGGGGGCTCACAGGAGGGGGGTGGGGAGGGTTCATCCAGGGAGACGGCCCTGGACAGAGAGAGTATCCACTCCTCTGTCAGTAAGGTCTCCAGGACCTCAGCCACCAACGGCAAAGGGAAAACCAGAGGGGATGATTGCAAACAGGAGGGGCCCTTCACCCGGACCATGTCTGTGATGAAGTCCAAGAGGGCACCGGCCCCACCCAGCCGCTCCTACTCCCTACACAAGGACAAGTTGAAGAGGTGCACGCGAGACCTGATTGACACCATGGTTGCTGCCCCTCCCCAAAGCAGCCCATTCCAGGGTGGGGAGGCTAAGGCTGTCAGTGCTGGGGAAACTCCCATGCCCTCCAGTAACAAAAGTAGCCCTGGCTACACAGCAGACATCAGCTGTCTGGATGAGTCTTCAGGCTCTGTGACAGCCAGCCCCTTCAACACCCCACAACAGGCAGCCATGGAGGAGGTGAGGAATGAGCAGCCAGGCTCCACAGGCTCCTCTCCCCAGAAGCAAACCCCCCAGGAAAATGGCCTGAAGAATGTCTCCCCCTCCAGCGGCTACTCCAGCCACGGTGGCACGCCCACCCTCCCTTCCAAACAAACCCATAACCCATCTCCAGGGAAAAAGAGAGGCATCCTGGGCAAACTAGCAAGCATCTTCCCCAAGGCACCATCCCCTGCATCTTCAGCCCCATCACCTGTCATTCAGCCACAGGCCTCTGACAGCAGCAAGACGACTAAGCCACAGCCATCCCCTCCAGTCGACAGTGTAACTCCCTCACCTTCAGTCATGTCAATCAGAGAGCTGTTCAACATCCCGCCTCCACCCAAGGTGTCTGCCCCCTCTCCTCCTCCCCCGGAGGTATGGGCACACAACAAGCGCACCTTTGAACTGCTACTAGGTCCCCCGGCCCCCAACAACACGGATACGGTGGTGCGAAAGAACCCAAAGGATCGACGACAGCAGAGGCAGTCTCCTTCCACATCAAGAGAGGGTTCTGTTAAGAACTTGTCACCTGAGAGGAGGGATGAGGATGCAGCACCAGAGCAGGAGGCAGGAGGTGTGCTGGAGAGGGTCACTGAGCCTCAAGCTAAAGAGCAGACCGGTCCAGCAGACCAGGAGATGGAACACTCTTCCACTGTGGAGACTAGTAATCCAGCAGCACATATGTCTGAGTCAGGAAAGGGTCAGGAGAGTGAAGTAGCACAGAAGGTTGAAGAAGACCGGGTTCAAGGAAGTCAGCTGGGAGTTGAAGAGAAGGTGCAGGGAAGTCTGTTGGTGGTTGAACCAGAGAGGGTCATTGTAAATCAGTTGATAGGTAAACTAGAGAAGGTCCAGACAAGTAATTTGGTAAATGGAAAGTCAGTAAAGGCCTCAGTAGCGCCAGGAAAGGGCCTAGGAAAAGTAAAGACAGAAATACAGACGACTACTCCTGCTGCAGCGAAAAAGACTGAATTCCAACCTAAAATGGACACGTCTATGGTAAGCCCTGCTCTAGCACGCATCTCGCCATCTCCTTCTCCTCCCCCAGCACACCATCCTCCCCTTCCCCCTTCCAAACAGACCCCACCTGTGGCCACATCAGACTTTACACCCGCTCCAGAGCCCCAACTAGTCTCCCCCACTGGGGAATCCTCCTGGCCCCCACCCCCTCCTCCCATGGACTTGGCCACCCTTGGCAATGAGCTTGACCTGCCCATTCCCCCACCACCAAAGGTAGTTATTACAGAACATGTGCCCCCTGTTTCATCTGTACCACAGGGAATCCCACCTCCACCCCAGAGTATCGCACCGCCGCCTCCCCAAGAGGCCCCGCCTTCACCAAAAGCAAGGTTTGGTCCACCCTCCTACATTCCTCCACCACCTCAAAGTATTCCACCCCCACCTCCACTGAAACACATACAGCAGCCCAGTCCAGTGACCACAGAGAGACAGAACCAAGAGAAGAAGTCCTTCAGCAAGAGCTCTCTCTCTCCCACTCCCCCAGAGGAGGGCTCCACTCCTGTGGTCACCCCCTCCCTTCTGCAGACAGTCAAGCTGAGGTCTGTCAATAATGGTGACCAGGGTCAGGAAAAGGACCAGAATCAGGGACAGGACCAGACAGAGGTCACTTTGAGGGCCAAACAACCCAATAACGGTGAGGCTCCCCAGAAGCCTATTCGAAGGTCTCTGTTCATAACATCTCCCCCTCCCACTGTCACATCCCCAAAAACTACTGTTATCTCACAACCTCCCATGGCCCAAGCCCCAGAGGCAGCCACAGCCCCAGCCACAGAGGCAACCCCAGAGGCAGACCCAGAGCCTTCCCCAGCCACGGCCACATCCCCAGAGGCAGCCACATCCCCAGAGGCAGCCACATCCCCAGAGGCAACCTCAGCCCCGGAGGCAGCCACAGCCTCAGCTCCAGAGGGAGCCCTAACCCCAGCCACAACCCCAGAGGCAGCTCCAGCCACATTCCCAGCTGAGGCCCTAGAGGCAGCCACAGCCTCAGCTGAAACCCCAGCCCCAGCCAAGCCCCAGCCCAGCATAGTTAATTTACCCTCAGAGTCATCCACTGTCACCTCTCCTACGAGGAAGTCACCTCCTGCCTCAGCCACCACCCCCTCCATGAGGATGCAGGAGGCCATCCGCTTGAGGACAGCTTCCAGAAGTAAAGAGGGGCCTCCCTCTCGTCTTAGCCTGCACTCCCCAACAAGTCTCATGTCTCCCTCCTCCACCGCCAGTTTCATCTTTGCCAAGAGCACAAAGAAGATTGTCATAGAGACCCCCTCATCCCCTGAGGCCCAGGCCAATCTCACAAAGAACCTGATAGCTGAGCTTTCATCTGTGTCTAATCCAGCCAAGTCCACAGACACACAGAAGAATGTGGTGGTCAAGGTGCCTCCACCTGTGTCAAGGAAACCCAAGCCTAAGGTCAGTGTGGAGATTGAGCATGTGCAAACTGCGGGACAGGAAGCATAGCCAGCAGACAACACTGAGGGTAAGGGATCTGTGATTGTGACACAATCATACTTGCCTAATTTTTTACAGCTATTGTCCATTTGCACTGTATGTTGATCTGATCTGACTGATCTTTCTCTCCTGTCAAAGGTGCTCCAGAAGCTCCAAGCGGGACAGCAGTTGGTGTTGAAGTGCCAACATTATCCTCCACATGAGCAACACTGCCACTAAGCAAGGATTAATCATTCACAAATACATTGCAAGAGGGGGAGAGAGATGGATAAAAAAGGAGTGAGCGGAGGACGCATACAGAGCCTTCTGAAGACAGGGCAACTGGACATAACTAAATGTAACCCTCTCACATAAGAGCTCTTTGAGTTTGAAATCCTTTGAGTTTATATTAAAATGGTGTTGGTCTTGAATTTTTCTAATACTCTTGTTGTATTTTGGAGCATTTTTCTTTGCCAGAGGAACTTCTTACTGGTCTGATTTAATAATGGACAGTCAGTCACAGTGCATGCTGGTCTAGGTACACGTCTAGGTTGCCCTCTAGTGTCAACTATGGAATGTCACAGCTACTGCTGTTGGGCACGCCAAACACTTGTCTGGATTATATACCAGAATGTTATATTTTTAATATATTCATATCATTATAAGATCATGCACTATTAAATTGTGTTGAGTTCTCATTTCATCCATCTTCATGTTTGTTGTAATAAAATCATTTATCTAAGTTATTTGTCCTGTAGACATCTTCCATTAGATTTTGTGGGAAATGTGTGATGTTATTTTATGTTTTCTATGTCAATATGTGTCAATCTTTCATGATGTCATCTGTCATCATCATATTTCCTTATCTCCTTAGCTACTAAAATGCTATCATCAGAACTGGGTGATGTCACTAGTTCTAGAATGTTGTAGTGAGGATGAGAATCCTATTCATGATGAGAATCCCAATTTTCATGGTCATGTTTTGTTTCTCTGTTGTTGAAATGAATGTACACATACTTTTACAGGAATCTCACCCTGTGTGTAAATCAAATCTCACAGGTTTAATCTGAAGCACAGTTTATGAACTGAACTGGTCATTTAAAAAGACTATTGGGGCAAATCTTTGTCTTGCTTTTAGTTATGTCCCGCAAATGTTGAAATCTTTCCTTTCAACCAGATGGGAGCTACATTATACATTGCATTTATGTTACTAATTTGTCCAGAAATTGGGATATTGCTCAACTGAATGAAATATCTGCTTTGAAAGTACAACATATTATTCAAAGTGATTTCAATGATTGTAAAAAAGTAATCTGACAAATGATTATGTATAGCTTCATTTATTTCAAGGTAACAGAATAAATGGATTTATTCACAATGAATTAATTAAGCCATTTCATTATTTCTACCTTGTTTCTAAAACATTTTGAGAAATGTACTGTAAGTCAGTTAGGCTTCTCTAGATTCAATTTATGCAACACAAACACACAAACACCCTGCTTCCAAGTTTCCCCCAGATTTGTACTTTTTCCGTCTTATCAGGATGTCTTGAAACCTCATGTTCACACACGTCTGGGTTTTCAGTATCCGTCAGACCCATCTGTATGTTGAATGACAGTCAAAACTAAGACTATATAAAATAGATTGTGACTGTATACAGTGAGTTCCAAAGGTATTGGGACAGGGACATTTTTGTTTTTGTTTTGGCTCTGTACTCCAGCACGTTGGATTTGAAATGATACCATGACTATGCACAGACTGTGAGCTTTAATTTGATGGTATATTTTAATCCATATCAGGTGAACTGTTTAGAAATTACAACACTTTTTGTAGATAGTCCCCCCATTTTAGGGGACCAAATGTGGACTCTACCATGATTACAGATCATCCTGAATGAATCATGAATAATGAGTGAGAAAGTTAGAGGCATAAATATCATTCCCCCCCCCACAAAAAAAGAAATGCTAACCTCCCCTGTTATTGTAGTGGTGAGAGGTTAGCAACTTCAACTTTCTCAATCATCATTATTCACGATTCATTCAGCACTATCCGTAATCTTGGTAGCATCCACATTAATGTAGAAGTGTTTAGAAACATATTATATTCTTATTTACAATAAAAGACACTCCAAAATGACACAGTACATTATTTACCATTCATTTCTATTGGGCACAAAATTATCTGAAACACAACCAAAACAAACAGCAAATGCATCCAACAAGTTTGTAGTCACAAGCTTGATGTAATCATTGCGTGCTAGGAATATGGGACCAAATACTAATCTTTTGACTACTTTAATACACAGTGTCTTCAGAAAGTATTCACACCCGTTTACTTTTTCCACATTTTGTTGTGTTATAGCCTGAATTTAAAATGGATTAATGGATTGTGTCACTGGCCTACACACAATACCCCATAATGTCGAAGTGGAATTATGTTTTCAGAAATGTTAACAAATTAATAAAAAATGAAAAGCTGAAGTGTCTGATGTGTAGTTCCCACCGTGAAGCATGGAGGAGGAGGTGTGATGGTGTGGAGGTGCTTTGCTGGTGTCACTGTCTGTGATTTATTTAGAATTCAAGGCACACTTAACCAGCATGGTACTACAGCATTCTGCAGCGATACGCCATCCCATCTGGTTTGGGCATAGTGGGACAATCATTTGTTTTTCAACAGGACAATGACCCAACACACCTCCAGGCTGTGTGAGGGCTATTTGACCAAGAAGGAGAGTGATGGAGTGCTGCATCAGATGACCTGGCCTCCACAATCCCCCGACCTCAACCCAATTGAGATGATTTGGGATGAGTTGGACGGCAGAGTGAAGGAAAAGCATTCAACAAGTGCTCAGCATATGTGGGAACTCCAAGACCGTTGGAAAAGCATTCCAGGTGAAGCTGGTTGAGAGAATGCCAAGAGTGTGCAAAGCTGTCATCAAGGCAAAGGGTGGCTACTTTGAAGAATCTAAAATATATTTTGATTTGTTTAACACTTTTTTGTTTGCTACATGTATTCCATATGTGTTATTTCATAGTTTTGATGTCTTCACTATTTTTCTACAATGTAGAAAATAGTTAAAACAAAGAAAAACTTTTGACTGGTACTGTATATATATACACAGTGCATTCGGAAAGTATTCAGAGCCTTTGACTTCTTACACATTTTGTTACGTTACAGCCTTATTCTAAAATGGATTAAATTGTCGTCGTCCCCCGACCCCCCCTTCAATCTACACATAATACCCCAGAATGTCAGTTTGTGGAAATATCACATTTACATAAGTATTCAAACCCTTTACTCAGTACTTTGTTGAAGCACCTTTGGCAGCGATTACAGCCTCGAGTCTTCTTGGGTATGACACTACAAGCTTGGCACACCTGTATTTGGGAGTTTACCCCATTCTCCTTTGCAGATCCTCTCAAGCTCAGGTTGGATGGGGAGCGTAGCTGCACAACTATATTCAGGTCTCTCCAGAGATGTTAGATCGGGTTCAAGTCCGGGCTCTGGCTGGGCCACTCAAGGAGGTTTTGTGGTTGCAAACTTCTTCCATTTAAGAATGATGGAGGCCACTGTGTTCTTGGGGAACTTTAATGCTGCAGAAATTGTTTGGTACCCTGTTTGGTGTCCCTCGACACAATCCTGTCTCGGAGCTCTACAGACAATTCCTTCGACCTCATGGCTTCTTTTTTGCTCTGACATGTACTGTCAACTGTGGGACCTTATATAGACAGGTGTGTGCCTTTCCAAATCATGTCCAATCATTTGAATTTATCACAGGTGGACTCCAATCAAGTTGTAGAAACATCTCAAGGATGATCAATGGAAACAATTTTGAGTCTCACAGCAAATGGTCTGAATACTTATGTCAATAAGGTATTTCTGTTTTTATTTTTAATACATTTGTAAAAATGTCTGTGTGTAGATTGAGGAATTTTTTTTATTTAATCAATTTTAGAATAAGGCTGTTACGTAACAAAATGTGGAAAAAGTCAAGAGGTCTGAATACTTTCCGAATGCACTGTAAATATAATATAAATAGTAATTTATTTGATGACAAAGCCCTAATTTTGTGGATTAGTTGCATCTCAGTTTAGCTCTGTCTCTTGTAAGTAGGCCTAGAGGTTTGTTAAAACTGCTATAATATTGTAGTTGCTGTCACGGATTCAGCCGAGGCTGCTCCTCCTCCTTGCTCGGGCAGGCTTCGGCGTTCGTCGTCACCGGAGTACTAGCTGCTACCGATCTATGTTTCTATGTTCTACTTGTCTTGTCTTTATTGTTCACACCTGGTTCCCATTAGTTATTGATTACTTCCCTATTTAATCCTCTGGCTCCCACTGTATGTTGTGCGTGTTTGTTCATGTTTGGTTGTCGTCTGGTGAGCAGGTTTGTTCCTCCCTGCGTGGAGGTTATGTTCTGTACGTTTTCGATTAGCTCTGTGTCCTGCGCCTGACTTCGTCCTACCGCATCACACTGACATCCTGACAGTTGCACTGACCATAATGATTGCTGTGATGGCTGCTGGACCTGCTGATGTCCTCTTACCACGGAGGAAAACATATTTTGGACCATTCATAATGCAGAAAATGGGAACACATTTATGAATGGATTAATTCATGGATATATCGACTTTATATAATTTTACACTGTCTGCAATATTTTTCTTATGAGTAACTGCTGTATTATTTCATAGTTTTTTCAAACAAAACAATGAAGAATGAAGAATAGTGAGTGGCTTGACAATGAAACCAATGGCTTTGGGAAGAGAACCTTGACCGCTGGCCATGTCCCTTCCGTCTTCAAGAGAGCGAGAGTTGCACCCCTTCTCAAAAAACCAACACTCGATCCCTCTGATGTCAACAACTACAGACCAGTATCCCTTCTTTCTTTTCTCTCCAAAACTATTGAGCGTGCCGTCTTTAGCCAACTCTCTTGCTATCTCTCTCAGAATGACCTTCTTGATCCAAACCAGTCAGGTTTCAAGACTGGTCATTCAACTGAGACTGCTCTTCTCTGTGTCACAGAGGCTCTCCGCACTGCTAAAGCTAACTCTCTCCCCTCTGCTCTTGTCCTTCTAGACCTGTCTGCTGCCTTTGATACTGTGAACCATCAGATCCTCCTCTCCACCCTCTCCGAGCTGAGCATCTCCGGCGCGGCTCACTCTTGGATTGCGTCCTACCTGACCGGTCGCTCCTACCAAGTGGCGTGGCGAGAAGCTGTCTCCGCACCACGTGCTCTCACCACTGGTGTCCCCCAGGGCTCAGTTCTAGGCCCTCTCCTATTCTCGCTATACACCAAGTCACTTGGCTCTGTCATATCCTCACATGGCCTCTCCTATCATTGCTACGCTGACGACACACAACTAATCTTCTCCTTTCCTCCTTCTGATAACCAGGTGGCGAATCGCATCTCTGTATGTCTGGCAGACATATCAGTATGGATGACGGATCACCACCTCAAGCTGAATCTAGGCAAGACGGAGCTGCTCTTCCTCCCGGGGAAGGACTGCCCGTTCCATGATCTCGCCATCACGGTTGACAACTCCGTTGTGTCCTCCTCCCAGAGTGCGAAGAGCCTTGGCGTGACCCTGGACAACACCCTGTCGTTCTCCGCTAACATCAAGGCGGTGACCCGATCCTGTAGGTTCATGCTCTACAACATTCGGAGAGTACGACCCTGCCTTACACTGGAAGCGGCACAGGTCCTAATCCAGGCACTTGTCATCTCCCGTCTGGATTACTGCAACTCGCTGTTGGCTGGGCTCCCTGCCTGTGCCATTAAACCCCTACAACTCATCCAGAATGCCGCAGCCCGTCTGGTGTTCAACCTTCCCAAGTTCTCTCACGTCACCCCGCTCCTCCGCACACTCCACTGGCTTCCAGTTGAAGCTCGCATCTGCTACAAAACCATGGTGCTTGCCTACGGAGCTGTGAGGGGAACGGCACCTCCGTACCTTCAGGCTCTGATCAGTCCCTACACCCAAACGAGGGCACTGCGTTCATCCACCTCTGGCCTGCTGGCTCCCCTACCTCTGCGGAAGCATTGTTCCCGCTCAGCCCAGCCAAAACTGTTCGCTGCTCTGGCACCCCAATGGTGGAACAAGCTCCCTCACGACGCCAGGACAGCGGAGTCACTCACCACCTTCCGGAGACATTTGAAACCCCACCTCTTTAAGGAATACCTGGGATAGGATAAAGTAATCCTTCTACCCCCCCCCTTTACTCCAACCGACACCCCCCCCCCCCCCCCCCAAAAAAAAAAAAAAAAAAAAAACACAATGTAAAGTGGTTATCCCACTGGCTATAAGGTGAATGCACCTATTTGTAAGTCGCTCTGGATAAGAGCATCTGCTAAATGACGTAAATGTAAAATGTAAATGAGAACAAACAGATCTGGAACCAGGCTAGCTAGTCTGTTCACATTCTTATATAAATGTGTTGCCATGGGTGCACATTGTATCCAGTTGTATCTGATTACTGGTGGTGGGAAGTCGTTTGCTAAGGAGTGGATTCTCAACTCATTCACTGTATACTGTAATGTTAAGATAAAAAAATATTAAATTCACATGGGAATCGACTCTAAATGTTATTTTATTGAGCAGGGTGTCTTTTTGAAAGCTGAAGGCGTCCTACAGTATCAACCAAAAAATACAGCACTTCCCTGTTATTATTTAAATGTACAGAATACATTGATTTATAATATGATTGCAGTTCAAAACTCTACAGTATTTATCAGCTGTTGACAGCCATGTGCGCATGCGCACTCGAATGCAGACAGACACACACTCTCTCTCTCAACTCCTGCTTCAAGGTTTTACCCAGAATTGTAACATATTTTCAGCATGTCTTGGTTCACATGATTTTGTCATGTGCTGGTTTAACAGGTGATGATTCATATTTCTACAGTAATATTTTTTTACACAAAGTTGTATGTGTTCTGTGTCCATCTTAGACACATATATGTGTTGAATCATCATAACTAAAGCAGAATATGAAATTGACTTTGACAATGTTATATGTCAGTATGCTTAATGTCAAACATGTTTATTTTGCCATGGTTACTGAGCTGCCAGCGAAACTGGGAGGGTGTGTCTAGTTCGAAGGAAAAAAACATGCTCCTACATGAATAGGTGTATGTCTGCGCAAAAGATAATCATTTTTTAAAATGTTATAATGGATGCATCTCTGTTGGGGGCTAAAAATGAAATCCCTTTAATGATCAAAATATATTGGGGGTGGATCTTGATTTACAACAATCACTGAAAAGACAAGTCATACAGGAAACACTATTGTACACTACTTGTGCCTTTTAAGGAATGGCATGGAGTGTCATGGAACCTATTAGAAGGTGGAGCCAAGGTGTGAGAAAAAGTAGAAAAGTACAGTAGATGGCGTGGATCAGCAGTTCATTCATTCTTCAAGATACATTGTAAGACACCAGTGCCTGGACTGCTGCTGATTCATTGAAGGACTTACTTGATGTTGTACCATTGCTGGTTGAGTACAGTAACCTCTGTCATGAGCTGGAAATCCTGGGTCGCTCAAAGATGTTTTGTTTCTCTCCTCATCATCAAGGCATCCTATTCTGGTAAGACACTTCCATGGCATCCCTTCTGTTACAGTCAATGGTGACTAACTACTTTAATGTAATGAGTAATGTATCTAATAAAAAGGGTCACTGTAATCATGCCATCTCTTAGATGGGGTAGTAAGACTGACTGTGACCCTCTGTCTATAGTTGAATTTGAGATCAGTGTTCCTAGTGAGCCTCAACTTGCCATCGTGGGGCAGCATGCGGTCCTAGACTGCAGCTTTCCTGTGGGAAAGGCCTGGGACCTGGACAACAGTGTGATAACGTGGCAGAGAGGCCTGGAGGTGATACACAGCTTCTACCACGGACAGGACAAACTGGACAGACAGAGCAGTCACTATGCCAACAGAACCAGCCTGTACCACTCTGAGTTGGAGAGGGGTAATGCCTCTCTAAGGCTGGAACGTACCAACCTGGGGGACAAAGGAGACTATACCTGCTCTGTGAGCACACTGCTGGGCAGTGAGACGAAAACCTTTGCCCTGAAATTAGCAGGTGTGATATCATATTAAACATTATTTTCTGCTTTGTGGACCGAGAAATTTCTGATGTTCTAGAAAATGAGTTCTTTATCACACTCATTAGGGTTCCTTGTAATGTACAATGCTTACTGAGATACTGTATATTCTTTCATGCCATTAAACTGTGTCCATTGCCTCTTTTATTTCAGCATACTACCCTGAGCCACACCTGAAGTTCACAGCATCTCCAAGAGATGTGGAGCTACTCTTGACCTCACAGGGAGGGTACCCCCGACCCTCAGTGCATTGGCTGGATGACAGCGGTGATGATGTCACCAATAACACAGTCACAAACATCTCAGAGGACACACAGGGACTATACACTGTGTTCAGTACACTAAATCTACAGGGACAAGTCAACGAGACCATCACCTTCGTCTTAAAGAACAAGGACCTGGGACAGGAGATCAGGAGAGAGATCACACTTTACTCAGGTACATAGACAATATCCTGGATTTGAAAAACAATTGACATTGCCTCTTTACTGAATGAGAGAGAGAGGAGAGAGCGGGCGAGCAAGCAAGAGAGAGAAATAGTGTTCAGTTGTTTAGACATACAGTATAATCACAATATTCTACATTTCTCTTCACAGCAAATGAGAGGTCATCAGTGGAAAAAGGCAAAATTTCTGGAGACAACAGAAAGACATGGATAATTATTGTTCCTATAGTGACATTTGTACTGCTGTTGTTTGTACTATTAATGTCAGCATTGAGAAAAACGTGCTATGGGCCATCACAGAAACCATCACCTGTCTACCAAACACCATCAGGCTCATCAGTCATCACAAATATAATTTACTGTACTTCATAATGGAGAAAAAGACAACATATTTAGGAATATATAATGAATGGAACTATGGCGTCCATATGATTCTTGCCAGTGTTTGTAATGCTGCCCATAGTATTTTTCCAAGGAGTTGATGCTATATTACTTTATAGTTTACCATGTACATTTGGGTGCTACTTAGTTTCTTCTCAAACACAGAAATGTTTGCCAATTTATTTATTCAGAAAAAGAGACAAAAAGCGGAATAATAATACAAATAAAAATAAATGTATGGATTAATTGCATCATTGATTAGCTGCGTCTGAGTAAAGGTTGTTAAAACTGAATTCTTATAGTGAATGTACAATAGATGTACAATATATCGAGAACAGTACAGTGATTGTATGACTCCTTTCAGACCAAAGGTCTCTTCATGTCATGTTAATGGAATGTGACAACAGTTCTGCATAGCCTACTGTACCTGTATAGTCCATACATAGTCATTTTATTATGGCACTTATGAAGTACTTAGTGGGGATATTGTGGAGACCACTTAGCAACACGTGGTTTGTTATCCCATCATAAATGTTGTGGTCGAAACAATGTTGCACTTTAAAACTCATTAAGCTTGTCATTGGGTGTACAAGCAAATATTGAGGCCAATGTTTTACTGAATGTCTGACTGGGAAAACAATGGTGTCTATTGATGATTGTACAGAGGCAGTTACCTTATCAACATTCCAAGGACAAGGAAATTACTGTTGTAAGTGTAGCTGAGAATAGTTTGCTTCCTTCATAGATTTTAGTTCAAAAAGTATTATTTATCAGGGCAATGTCCTAACCGAATCCATTTGTCTTAAAAATTAAAGAGGAGTTGTATTGACTTTATTTCAATTTTGTTTTTATTTCAAATGAGTCAGGTGTACAGTGGTATAGAAGTCTATGGTGTAGAATGAACCACTGTATGGTCTCTCACTGACCCTACCGCCACTTGAAACGCCAAACCCTGACAATCCCGGTCTCTACCAGTTCATCATAGAGAAGAGTGGAAACGTATTGTCCTCCTCAGCTCTCCCCACAGACTCCTCTCTTCTTTCCTTCCCCTCATCCAGTGGCTGCTCCTCACCCACCCACAATCCCCATTCCTTCATGGACTGTGAAAGCACATCTTCCTGTGATAAAGACTTCTTCCCCATCCCTGATCCCAGGAATGAGGACTCTTCCTGTGGATGTACCCATTCCCTTGCACTAGAGCCCTCCTCCTCTATCAACACTGATCCCTCCCTCTCCCATGGACTCCTCACTTTAAACTCTGCCCCCTCCTCAGCTCTAAACCCTGACCTTCTCCCCTTATCAACTCTGAATCCCTCACAACTGACGCATGTGTAACCTCAAATATCTTCCCCTTTCTAAATAGCATCTGAACCACCTCTGACTCCTCACCCTCCAAGGGCACAGCTTCATCCTCCTCTAAATGTTGCTTATTTTCCGTGGAACGAGTGTAGCGCTGCTCTTCCTTATCACAATACTTCTCCACATCAAAGGTTCCAGTAGATCCTATGGGTTGTCAAACTCATCCATCTTCCCATCCATTTTGGTCTCAAACCAGACAACATCTTCATCATCATCATTGACTGGTGAGGGACTGACTTGTGGGAAACCACCCTTTGGTGTGGATAGCTGATCTGAGAGCAGCAGAAGCCCACTGCTGGCAAACCCTACAGGACATGGAAATAAACAGGGTTAGAAGTGTCATCACCACTGGAAGTCTTATCATCCCTACTCCCTACGAATCACTTAGTCCCATGGTCAGTGCTGTATACCGAAACCAAACAGAAGTAGTGTGATGATGGGTTAGGTTGACAGTCACTTACCATCCATCATGGCTCTTCTGGGTTTGGTCTTCACACATTTGGAGTCACAGCAGTCACAGATGGAATCCTCTCCCATCAGAGATTTACATTTTCGTAATTTAGCAGACACTCTTATCCAGAGCGACGTAGAGTTGGTGCATTCATCTTAGGGTTTCTAGGTATGACAACCACATCTCATAGTCATAGTGAGTAAAACGTTCCTCAATAAAGCTGCTAGCACCAAAGTCAGTGCTAGTAAGAAAAGGCAAGTGTTAGTGCATGAAAGGTACAGTATGTAGGGATGTAAAGGGCAGACTGTACATTTCCCAGAGTACAACATTTAACTTGTGTCAGCATACCTGTTCTCTCGGTAGGTGCATGACTTGTGCATGGGGCCGGGGTCCTCTGATGTCACATACAGCTTACAGTGAAGGAAGACCTAGAGGAGATGAAAAGATTACCTTTGATTCAAGAAATGGACCAATTCATGTCTATCATTTTATTGGTCAAAGGCTGCAATTTGCTTTATTCTTTACAATAAAGAACACTGTTTATTGCATACATTCAACAGAAAAGTCAAGAGCGTGAATGAGATTACATGATAGAGTATAAGTCTCCCATGCTCACCGGTGTGTCTGGATCAAAGGTAAACTGGAAGGCGTTGAGGGAGAACCAGAGGGTGCCATCAGTCCTGGGGGTGACAAACAGAGCCACCAGTTTTCTTCTGGCTCTCCAGCATGCAGCTGTGGATCAGAACAGAATGGGTTTGCACTCAGGTCATGAATAATAATAATAATTTCTTTATTGTGTCCTTTGGGGAAATGTGTCTTCCCAGTGAGCACCGTCCGACACCAATGTCCATGAACGTTGGTCTGTGGATGTTGAAATCAATGCCAGGGCCAACAGACCAACGTTCATGGACATTGGTGTCGGACGGTGCTCACTGGGAAGACACATAAACAGACGTCTATAATTGGTTCAGATTTGGTCCGGTCCAGCCTTGATTTCAACGTCCACCAACGTCTGGTCTAGAACGGCCTCGATTTGGTCCAAACAGATGTCTATGATTGACAGAGACTCTATTTGGCCCAAACATAGATACCTATGATTGGTTCAGATTTGTTCCGGACTGGACCAATCTGAACCAATCATAGATGTCTATGTTAACAAGTTTGGACAGTACAGTACATGGAGTAGCCAGCCAAATAGAAAAAGTAGCCAGTCAGGGAGTTCCGGCCTGGGTGAGTCCGGGGGGGGGGCATTTTTTTTGCAGAACAATTTCTTTTTTGGTGGCCTCTGGTACATTTTAATGCCTTGATTCCAATCCGAAATACACAGCAAAATGATTTAATAGTTAGTTGGGGTATTGAGTAGAAAGACATGACTTTGCAATTAAAATGACTGGAAATGTATAAATGTAGTGTGTTAGTTGTTTTGGATAGCACCTAGGCCTAGATGATCAGGACTATTTTCTAAGTAAGAGAACCTTTAACATTAAACCGGTCTTCTCAAGATTCAATAAATATTTACAGTTTTTCTGAAATATATTAATTGCCACAATGATGTTTGTTCTTCAAATTATGTATTTTATTGGCTCTGCTGCTGTGGACACTTAGGGTAAGGAAACCAATGTGTCATTTTGTAATTTGGGTGAACTCTCTCAATCAATCCCTGTGGGTGGGATTGTCAGGGTAGGGGGCAGGATATTTGTGAGTCAGAGCTGGTAGGGTTTCAGACCGGTCAATCAATCACTGTGTGTGGGACTTTGAGGGAAGGCGGTATATTAGTGTTCTGTCAAGAAAACATGTATTCCCTGTTGAGAAACAACATAGAATTGCAGGAAATTGCGTCTTTAATAATATCTTATAAGTATTATGACATTAGCTTTTATAACTTTCAATCTGTTTGCTTTTATCATATTTTGGTCCAGAATGAAGCCCTCTCCACTACGTATTGTTTCTGCAGTGAGGATTCAACATCTTCATCGAATGTAGATAATCGCCAAAAAGTAGTATTAGCCTACCAGTATGCAAATTAGGGAGCCAAATGAACTGCTCTCTCACCGATGCGATTTGTTCATAAAGAGCTGTTCGTTTGCGAACAACCCATCACGAGGCTGCACTGACGAGTCACTTTAGCGTTCACTGGCAAGTTTCGACATGGGCTTCGAATCCTAGGAAAATACAAACAAGATCTTTAGTTTACTTGTCCTGATGCGATACCATGGACATATAACTACGTTGTATGATTAATTTATGAATAGCAAAAAGATATAGGAGATTGACTTTATTCAGTCAGGTCAACACCTTTCATAAACTAGTCAAGACAAGCTGTTGGTCCTCAATAAAACAACAGTACATTTTGACCCCCGACTCCATGGCTGGCTAAATGCCTATGAAAAACGCAAAAGAAAATGAATGAATGTGCCACAAAACAATAATTAAGAGTTCAACTCATTGTTACCACTTACATTACATGGCACGTGTAAATTCACACATGATTATGAAGGTAAAATAATATAATAAGTGTACAAGCATGTAAAATATGATTTGCACATGTAAAATATGAGTTGCAAAAGATATTTACAAATATGTAATTGTTTTGAGAATAAATGCAACAACACTTGCACACAGGTAATGTGATGTGTGAAAATATACAACAACACTTGTAAACATGTAACTTGATATGTGAACAAATCCAATACGATTTTGCGACTGGTGAATCTTCTTCTGTGAATCAAAACTTAATTTGCCTGCTAACTCTGTCCATGCTTTTCCTAGAAAATGTATATCTGACATTATAGCTAGCTAGTTGATGTTGTTCTAGCTAGCTCACCCAAAGCAGGCATTTCTCCTCCTCGCTGGTCTGCAGATGCATGATCATGATGTTGTGGCTGTAACATTTAATGGACATTGCACTAGAACAAAAACTAGCTAGCTATATCAGATATACAGTGCATTCTGAAAGTATTCAGACCCCTTCACCTTTTCCACATTTTGTTACGTTACAGCCTTATTCTAAAATTGATTAAATTCAATTTTTTCCTCATCAATCTACACAATACCCCATAATGAAAAACCAAAAATAGGTTTTTAGAGATTTTTGCAAATGTATTAAAAATAAAAAACAGAAATACCTTATTTACATAAGTATTCAGACCCATTGCTATGCGACTCGAAATTGAGCTCAGGTGCATCCTGTTTCCATTGATCATCCTTGAGATGTATCTACAGCTTGATTGGAGTCCACCTGTGGTAAATTCAATTAATTGGACATGATCTGGAAAGGCACACACCTGTCTATATAAGGTCCCACAGTTGACAGTGCATGTCAGAGCAAAAACCAAGCCATGAGGTCGAAGAAATTATCCGTAGAGCTCCAAGACAGGATTGTGTCGAGGCACAGATCTGGGGAAGGGTACCAAAAAAATTCTGCAGCGTTGAAGGTCCCCAAGAAGACAGTGGCCTCCATCATTCTTCAATGGAAGAAGTTTGGAACCACCAAGACTCTTTCTAGAGCTGGCCGCCCAGCCAAACTGAACAATCAGGGGAGAAGGGCCTGTTGTGGAAAATAACCACTATACTTTATTACAAATATGGTCTTACAGAGTTTTTGTTGCATCAAGAAATGACTTTATTAAAGTTTTCAACAAAGCCGATACCAGTCTGCAGAGTGGCACCCCGTTCTGTTTTCCTCACGTCCCATTATATACCATCATCCCCCACTCTTCTAGCTCTAAATCCCTCCCTCTTCAGTTTCCCGCTCTTTATCACTCCACACCCACTTCCTTTGTCCCTGAGGACGGCTGAACTATTACTCCAACCAATCACTCGCTCCCCTGTCTTGCACACACACTCATGTTTAGTTTAAACATGACAAGGCCCTAAATTCTTGCATCATACACAAACCTCACCCCCTCATGCTGTAATCAATCAAGAAGATACCAAGGAGACAAAGGTCTAGCCCAAACTCTATTCAACCCTGGTGCCGCTCCCTTCACTGTGTTTGAAGAGAGAGACAAAAGGCCACAAGCTAGTTTCAGTCTCTCATCAGATAAGACAGCCATGGATTTAAGTAAGAGCAAGCAATTTGACCCTATGGCAGATTTCCTCTCTACTCCCCCACACAGTGAAATTAAATGACCCAATACAATTCCTGGCCCAGTAACAAACAATTCTAACTTTATGCTCTTGATTAACCCAGTTCTACCCTATAGTCCATTAAACTCTACAGTTCATTAATAATAATTCAACACAGGCCTTGGTCAGGGAGGTGACCAAGAACCCGGTGGTCACTCTGACAGAGCTCCAGAGTTCCTCTGTGGAGATGGGAGAACCTTCCTGCAGCACTCCACCAATCAGGCCTTTATGATAGAGTGGCCAGACAGAAGCCACTCCTCAGTAAAAGGCACATGACTGCCTGCTAGGAGTTTTCCAAAAGGCACCTAAAGGACTCTGAGACCATGAGAAACAAGATTCTCTGGTCTGATGAAACCATGATTGAACTCTTTGGCCTGAATGCCAAGCGTCATGTCTAGAGTAAACCTGGCACCAGTGGCGGCTCCTGAAAAAATTCTCAGGAGGGGCAATTTTTCTGATGATTTAGGTGACCTACACACATTTTAAAAAAGATATGTCCAGCAACAACATGAAGACAGGGGCAGCATATAAGTCAATACCAGAAGCATTTATTGACTGATCTGGGGAGATGGATTCCAGTTTCTGTGACAGATTATAAATAATCTCTGATGCCTTTGTTATATTAGCTTTTGGTTGAATGTACTGTCGTAGTAAATATATAATGTTATAGCTTGGTCTGACTAAAATCTTGTGCATGACCCATTTTGTGTTGGGCGTTTGTTTTCAATCAATGCTGTTCCTATCCTATAACAATGGACAAAAGAGTCCTATCTTGTCAGCCTTGTCAGCAGGTGGCCAAGGACAACACCCACGCCATAGGTCTCTCAGTTCTTCCAACTCACGAGTTCTTGCTCTGAGGACACACACACACACACACACACACACATCATCACTGATAACACACACACACACACACATCATCACTGTTAAACACACACACACACACACATCATCACTGTTAAACACACACACACACACACACAAAAATCCCCTCTCTTTAGGCTGAACATTTGAAGACAGAGAACCCGACTCAGAGCCAATGCAACAGTGGAGGGGACCTCGCCCAACTCATCAGGACCAATCAGAAGATCAGAACTACTAGATTCAACCTACATCATTTATTGTATAAAATGTCAGCACACAATGTTTTCGGGGCTCTCTTCAGATAGCTCCCTAAGAGTTTGACGAACGAGTCCGTGCACGCGATTCCAGATATCTTTACCTCTGAATAAACTGCCTTTATTATACCCTATCCACCCTGTCCAAAGTCTCTACTTGGTCTCAGTTCTCCAGTAAACTTGTGATTATCAACAGTACACAACGGTAACAAACAATTGGGGGAACTCACGGGGCAGATAGTAAGGTCGCAGTGACACAGAAAGCAGTTCAATGTCGGGGCTCGGGGGTACAGAGTCGCTCTCTTACCAGGATCGATTTTCCCTGTGACTGTCAGATCGAGGTCCGCTCCGACCAGGGTGAAGCCGGCCGGCTCCACTTCTCTGTCCGGGACTCTGTCATCCAGCCAAGTCTCCCAGCTGTATTGGATTCCGCTGCCAGCAACGTTTTCATTATTTAGTCCGTTCGTAGCGGGTATGTACACGATCAACAAGATCAGTCCAAAACCCACCACTGGAAATCCATGGTTGGCAGAATGTTTGTAAACTAAGTGTACAAATTAAAAACATAAAATAACGCCACTAAGTGTACAAATTAAAAACATAAAATAACGCCACACTGCAGGTCGCAACAGAGACGCTGCTAGCCGCTATTTGCTTAGTTACGTTCATGGTTACGTCACGTATGACGAAAGCGCGTAAGTGCAAGCCCACAGACACCCATAGAGAATGTATTGAAAGCTTTGAAATTTGAAAAAAATAGATTTTACATGACAGGCTATGAGAGACTTCTGGGCGATTTTCAACCTGACTGAAATCGCCCAAAAACGGGCGGGGCCATTTGAAGCATGACTTTAGCCTGATTTGACATTTAGTGGCAGTCAGATCAGATTACAACACTGATAACTACTGTTGCCGTGATATAATTGATTAGAAAAAAAATCCCTTCCTTTTCCCGTTTGGCAGTGCGTCGCCCATATCGCCCTATTGAACAGGCCGTCCCTGCCTGGCACCATCCCTACGGTGACACATGGGGATGTCAGCAAAATGCTGTGGGGATGTTTTTCAGCAGCATGGACTGGGAGACTAGTCAGGATCGAGCAGTTGGTCTAATGGTGCCCTCTGTCATCGGCCTCCCCCTTGCTTGAGGGAACAATAGAGGAGCAATAGAGAACAAAAGAGGAAAGGCCCACCCCCCACTTGTGCCAAGTCATGAGGATACCTGGACCACCTATTGAGATGTATCTTTTGTCAAGTAAATCAGGTGATAAATGAGGTGAAAAGGAGACTGGAGTGCAAATGAAAGCTGAGAAGATAGGTGTGTCTGAAATGTTGGCATGTCTTATACCAACCTGGTCTCAGAGCATTTCATATTATTCTGTACGTATATCCGAGATACCCCAGTTATTATGATATGTTTAGCATGGTATGTATTAATTTGTGGATGTCCATGATCCAATTTGTGTTTATGTTTCGAATTACAATTCTTATGATGTTACGAATTTGCAAAACACATGATATGTTACAAATTCCAAGCTAGGTGGCTAACGTTAACATGCAGAGGTAAATATGTTTTACAGTGGTAAATATGAAAATCTTCCAATAGAACGAACACCCCCACCTCTCTGTCATGGTTTAAACCATGTATTTCTATGTGGTGGCACTGTCCATCCAGTAGAGCTGAGCACCTTTATGCATAGATTTTCCTTTGTAGGCCCACGTCCTCATTTTCACCATTTGTTTGATTTGCGTCCTTGATGAAAATAGCCTTCATCACAACGCATTAGATTTATTTGTTGATTTATCATTGTTTGCTTTTATCAGCCAGCTGTTTAGAGCACTCATTGCTTTGTTTTTACATTTACATTTACATTTTAGTCATTTAGCAGACGCTCTTATCCAGAGCGACTTACAGGAGCAATTAGGGTTAAGTGCCTTGCTCAAGGGCACATTTACGTCATTTAGCAGACGCTCTTATCCAGAGCGACTCACAAATTGGTGCATTCACCCTATAGCCAGTGGGATAACCACTTTACAAATTTTTTTTTTGGGGGGGGGGGTAGAAGGATGACTTTATCCTATCCCAGGTATTCCTTAAAGAGGTGGGGTTTCAAATGTCTCCGGAAGGTGGTGAGTGACTCCGCTGTCCTGGTGTCGTGAGGGAGCTTGTTCCACCATTGGGGTGCCAGAGCAGCGAACAGTTTTGACTGGGCTGAGCGGGAACTATGCTTCCGCAGAGGAAGGGGAGCCAGCAGGCCAGAGGTGGATGAACGCAATGCCCTCGTTTGGGTGTAGGGACTGATCAGAGCCCGAAGGTACAGAGGTGCCGTTCCCCTCACTGCTCCATAGGCAAGCACCATGGTCTTGTAACAGATGCGAGCTTCAACTGGAAGCCAGTGGAGTGTGCGGAGGAGGGGGGTGACGTGAGAGAACTTGGGAAGGTTGAACACCAGACGGGCTGCGGCATTCTGGATGAGTTGTAGGGGTTTAATGGCACAGGCAGGGAGCCCAGCCAACAGCGAGTTGCAGTAATCCAGACGGGAGATGACAAGTGCCTGGATTAGGACCTGTGCCGCTTCCTGTGTAAGGCAGGGTCGTACTCTCCGAATGTTGTAGAGCATGAACCTGCAGGATCGGGTCACCGCCTTGATGTTAGCGGAGAACGACAGGGTGTTGTCCAGGGTCACGCCAAGGCTCTTCGCACTCTGGGAGGAGGACACAACGGAGTTGTCAACCGTGATGGCAAGATCATGGAACGGGCAGTCCTTTCCCGGGAGGAAGAGCAGCTCCGTCTTGCCAGGGTTGATATGTCGGCCAGACATGCAGAGATGCGATTCGCCACCTGGTTATCAGAAGGGGGAAAGGAGAAGATTAGTTGTGTATCGTCAGCGTAGCAATGATAGGAGAGGCCATGTGAGGATATGACAGAGCCAAGTGACTTGGTGTATAGGGAGAAAAGGAGAGGGCCTAGAACTGAGCCCTGGGGGACACCAGTGGTGAGAGCACGTGGTGCGGAGACAGCTTCTCGCCACGCCACTTGGTAGGAGCGACCGGTCAGGTAGGACGCAATCCAGGAGTGAGCCGCGCCGGAGATGCCCAGCTCGGAGAGGGTGGAGAGGAGGATCTGATGGTTCACAGTATCAAAGGCAGCAGACAGGTCTAGAAGGACAAGAGCAGAGGAGAGAGAGTTAGCTTTAGCAGTGCGGAGAGCCTCCGTGACACAGAGAAGAGCAGTCTCAGTTGAATGACCAGTCCTGAAACCTGACTGGTTTGGATCAAGAAGGTCATTCTGAGAGAGATAGCAAGAGAGTTGGCTAAAGACGGCACGCTCAATAGTTTTGGAAAGAAAAGAAAGAAGGGATACTGGTCTGTAGTTGTTGACATCAGTGGGATCGAGTGTTGGTTTTTTGAGAAGGGGAGCAACTCTCGCTCTCTTGAAGATGGAAGGGACATGGCCAGCGGTCAAGGATGAGTTGATCAGCGAGGTGAGGTAGGGGAGAAGGTCACCGGAGATGGTCTGGAGAACAGAGGAGGGGATGGGGTCAAGCGGGCAGGTTGTTGGGCGGCCTGCAGTCACAAGTCGCAGGATTTTATCTGGAGAGAGAGGGGAGAAAGAAGTCAAAGCATAGGGTAGGGCAGTGTGAGTAGGACCAGCAGTGTCATTAGACTTAACAAACGAGGATCGGATGTCGTCAACCTTCTTTTCAAAGTGGTTGACGAAGTCATCCACAGAGAGAGGGGGGGGGGGGGGGGGGGGGAATTCAGCAGGGAGGAAAATGTGGCAAAGAGCTTCCTAGGGTTAGAGGCAGATGCTTGGAATTTAGAGTGGTAGAAAGTGGCCTTAGCAGCAGAAACAGATGAAGAAAATGTAGAGAGGAGGGAGTGAAAAGATGCCAGGTCGGCAGGGATTTAGTTTTCTTCCATTTCCGCTCCGCTGCCCGGAGCTCTGTTCTGTGAGCTCGCAATGAGTCATCAAGCCACGGAGCTGGAGGGGAGGACCGAGCCGGCCGGGAGGATAGGGGACACAGAGAGTCAAAGGATGCAGAAAGGGAGGAGAGGAGGGTTGAGGAGGCAGAATCAGGAGATTGGAGGGAGAAGGATTGAGCAGAGGGAAGAGATTATAGGATGGAAGAGGAGAGAGTAGTGGGAGAGAGAGAGCGAAGGTTGCGGCGGCGCATTACCATCTGTGTAGGGGCAGAGTGAGTAGTGTTGGAGGAGAGCGAGAGAGAAAAGGAAACAAAGTAGGTCGGAGACATGGAGGGGAGTTGCAGTGAGATTAGTAGAAGAGCAGCATTTAGTAAAGATGAGGTCAAGCGTATTGCCTGCCTTGTGAGTAGGGGGGGACGGTGAGAGGGTGAGGTCAAAAGAGGAGAGGAGTGGAAAGAAGGAGGCAGAGAGAAATGAGTCAAATGTGGACATAGGGAGGTTGAAATCCCCCAAAACTGTGAGGGGTGAGCCATCCTCAGGAAAGGAACTTATCAAGGCGTCAAGCTCATTGATGAACTCTCCAAGGGGACCTGGAGGGCGATAGATGACAAGGATATTAAGCTTAAATGGGCTAGTGACTGTGACAGCATGGAATTCAAATGAGGAGATAGACAGGTGGGTTAGGGGAAAAATTGAGAATGTCCACTTGGGAGAGATGAGGATTCCTGTGCCACCACCCCTCTGACCAGATGCTCTCGGGGTATGCGAGAACACATGGTCAGACGAGGAGAGAGCAGTAGGAGTAGCAGTGTTTTCAGTGGTAATCCATGTTTCCGTCAGCGCCAGGAAGTCGAGGGACTGGAGGTTAGCATAGGCTGGGATGAAGTCAGCTTTGTTGGCAGCAGAACGGCAGTTCCAGAGGCTGCCTGAGACCTGGAACTCCAGGTGTGGGGTGCGTGCAGGGACCACCAGGTTAGAGAGGCAGCAGCCACGCGGTGTGAGGCGTTTGTGTAGCCTGTGCAGAGAGGAGAGAACAGGGATAGGCAGAGGCATAGTTGACAGGCTGTAGCAAATGGCTACAATAATGCAGAGGAGATCGGAATGAAATGAACTAAACATCTGGGAGAGGAGAGAGCAGGGCCTCCCTCACCAAAACTTCCACCTCAGAAACTATAATTGTTTCACTGAACCACCCGAACAAAAACTCTCCCAACTTCCACCTTTAGAAATCAGAATTGTTGTGAACCACAGCGGTTCAATGTTTAAAGGAATAGACTCAACCCACTTTATTCAGCTAGCTAACTATGACACCATAGCTAACTAGCAATGCTTGCAGGTATTGGTGTACTCCGTGCCATCCATGGCCAGAAGAAGTAGACCATTTATTTAGCTTTATTCTTTTCGGTTTTCTTTCCTGGATCAGCTGATGATGGTCGACTATATAACTAGACAACTAACCTACAGCTAGACACCAACGCCCTTCCAATCCATCCAACAAGAACACCTTAATGACAGCAGGCCTATAGTTGATTTTTAGTTAGAAGCATTCCATTTTGCAATGGCATAGGCCTACATACGTTATTTTGGATTTGTGTGCCCATGAGAACTGTTTTCACGGTGAAACATAATTAAATGTTACACAGGCATAGTTACACTTACAGTGAATTTTCCGAGATCCATAATTCGTACAAGATTTAACTTCAATGTTGTAATTCAATTGTTAAATGCTTAATAATGACAAATCACACTGTCATAAATGTCATTAATGTAAGGAAAGAAAGGTAGTGTTTTATGTCACATGATCTGTGAAGACTCCAAGCATTAACTCATGAATTATGGACAACTCATGAACTAGGTTGTAAAACATGTTTTGATTCAACTCATCATGTATTATTATATTGAATGTAGGATATGTCATGGAAATTCTAACCAGAAAGGAAGAGAAACTGTAGATTTTTCAAACAACAACTTTTTATTATAAGAATTGCAATTCTGGAGCGGTTAACAATCACTCAAAAGGTGCAGAGTTAAGAACCCAACGAACAAGAGTTGGTTCTCAGCTTTTATAGGGATTACAACCACTTTTGTCTATGTGGCAGTTTAGCAGGTGTGTGAGATCATGGTGGGAACATAGCGTACAAACAAGTGATAATGCCAGTTTTGTTACATCTAGCTGCTGCTGCTCAAGCTAGCCTCTGTTATCTTCATATCTCCACAAAGCTGTGCCCTTGAAAGATACGAAAAGAACAGGATGGACTCGAAAACTGTGGTCACTCTCAGACGTCTCTTTGTCTTTGGCCGCGTGACCAAGTCACACAGAGAGAAGAGAGGAAAAATACTAGCTTCTTCTTACATGACAGAAACAGACAGTGGAAATGTACAGGTTTAAGGCTTAGTTTGTAATTTTCCCACCATAGATACCTATCCTGAGTGTGTTCGTGTTTAAAATTGCTTTGGCTGAGAGGGTAGGCTACCGGCAGTGGTATAGGCCTAGTGTAGGGTAAACGCTGTTTACCCACTTTTTTTAATGCATGGAAAGTATAGGGAGCATTCATTTTTTCACCGTGACTGGCATAGTTTACCCACCATTTTTATTTTTTATTTGTACACATCACTGGCTACCGGTAGGCTTATTTGAAATTCATGGTAATACACATTGTAGCCTAGTTTAGTAAGTTGACCAGGTGTGTTAGGGTGACCATCACGTTTTTCCCAGGACAGTTTCATCCCCATTTCAGGTGTCCTGACTTTTCAAGCTACGCATTATTATTTATTATTTTGTCAGCAAGACATCAATTAATGTAGGCCTAATCAATGGCAATCGCTGAATGTCATTAGGCAAACATTTGTGTTTTTTAACAGGTCTATTTCCATTCATCAAATGGCGCCAGTAGGCTATACATGCAGTTTGGACGCTGGATTTATTTTAGAGTGGACGAACATGCCTACTTTTTGAAGTGATTTGTTTGACAATCAAATGAAAATATCATGATTGGTTGTGTTCATGCCACATTAAAAAGGTAATTTAAACTTTTAAAATGTATTAAGTATTTATTATTAGGGCCATAAAAAAAAAATGCACACGCTAACATGTAGGCCTACACCAAAACAGCGCCATACTGGAGAGAGGAGCACATTGGAGAAGGCCCTTAAAGTGTACTTAATGTTAACCCATTGTAGGCTACTAGCCAAAGAAAATTGCCTGGCTAGCCAAACTCTTTGCTGCGGCCAAACGTTACGCCACGCCACGCCAACGGACATTAGTTTCTTCTCCGCAATGAGTCTGGATCGGAGTACCCCTCAGACGATTTCTAAAACGCAAACTTGTTCTAACCGTTCTGATTGATCCCAGAAACTGATGGGTTGGGCCAGAACACACTTGGGCAAAGCGGCGTTTTGAAAAGTCATCATTGGCATTGATACTCTGATTGGAAATTATCAATTCGCTGATGACTGTTATGTACAACACCTCTCATTTTGACATCACCACAAACCACTTCAACTACGGCAGTCTCCGTTCAGTGCGTCTTTACATTCAAATACCAGTTGAAACATGGGGAGGGGTAACGCTGTCAGCATGGCCACTGCCCTTGAAATACGTCACTCATTGCTTCAAGAGTAAGACACACCTCGCCACACCCACCAAACGGGAGCAAAGGCCACGTTCAAAACAACTGTGAACTCGGAAATCTCTGACTTCCGACTTCAGTGCGTTCAAAACAACTGCGTACAAACTGTTCCGCAATGTAGCAAATGTTCAAGCGAACTGAACGCACCTTCATACTGAAGTAGGCTATGCAGAGAACATAGAGCAGCGGAAGGAATTCGTTTGAGTCGTCAGGCAAAAATAAAATAGACACTTCAGGATTTGTCAAAGTTGTTAAATATTACAGTATTTGAGATATTCAAGAGTAAAAAGCATTTTTGATATGTCATATAAACAGTGTTGGTGAGTAGTGAGCTACATGTAATTCAACAACATTTTACAGTAGCTTGGTGGTAGTTGAACTAACTTCTAATATTGGTAGTGTTTTCAGTAGTTCATTACTTTTCGCCATGTAGCGTACCGGAACTATACACTACTTTTTTTGCAAAAAGAAAAGAAAATATGGGTGAAGTAGGCAAGAATTTCCTTTCTTTTTCGGCATCAGACCTGCCGGATTCTCACTTGAATAAGCTAAATTACACATTCTGTTAACATTTACCAGACGCTCTTATCCAGACCGACTTACAGTTAGAGTGCATACATTTTTCATACTGGCCTCCCGTGGGGGAATCGAACCCACAACCCTGGCGTTGTAAGTGCCATGCTCTACCGACTGAGCTACAGGAGGTTAACATTTGACTGTAAAGTGATCTATATTTCAGAGTAGCTTACCCAACACTGCTGATAAATAGAAAACTTGGCTTGGGTCTGCTCAAAGCTTCATACAAGAATGCAAACAATCAAATTGATTGTTTGTCACATTACACACAGCACACAACACAAACCATTCACAAGATCAGGACACAGCTTCAACTGACACATTATCTTTTGACAATACTTCTAAATAGGTAAACAAGTTAAGATTTTTAAAATACAAATCAGCCCATCATCTTGTGATGAAAGTCACCTCATCCTTCTGATGATTGTACAACACATGCATGTTGTATACTGTACACCCATATGCACACATTACACACATACCCAAATAAACTTGTCTATACAGAAATGCACACATCCATATTCACAGACAAGTTTGTATAGATTTTGTAATGTGCCAACTTAGTAATGTGTGTGCTTTCTTTAACAACTAGTTTTAATATACAGTTAAAGTGAAAATGCTGTACTATTAGGCCCTAATGTGTCCATACAGTTGAAGGCATCAAACATTTCAAGTTAGAAGTGAGATAGTTATTAACTCAAACTTGTTAGAAAGCTGCCCCACTCTCCAAGAAAGGTTCTACTTTTTAAAGGTAGACTTTGGGGAAAAACTATATAACTGATCAATGCACCATCATACCAGGTAATTTAATGCTTAAAAACAAAAATATTTTATGAATAAGATATTTGGCTATAGAGATGCCATTTCTAACCCATCCGTCCAAAAACAAATCCTGTGAAATGACGTCAACACTTACTGGAGGAGATGCCGCGTTCAAAACAACTGGGAACACAGAAATCTCTGACTTCCGACTTCAGTGCGTTCAAAACAACTAGGAACAACAACAAAAAAAGAGCTCAGACTGGGAAAAATCAATTTGAACGGTCATCCAACTCATAATTCCAACTTGGGAACTTGGGCCTCTTTCTAGAGCTCTGACTTTCCGACCTGAAGATCACGGACGTCATGATTTGACCTTGTGTTTTTCCAGAGTTCCCAGTTGTTTTGAACGCAGCATTACGGTCTAGCTGAAGCTAACGAACCATACTGAACAAAAATATGAACGCACCATGCAACAATCAACTATTTTACTGAGTAACAGTTCATATAACAAAATAAGTCAATTGTAATAAATAAGTTAGGCCCTAATCTATGGATTTCAAGACTGGGCAGGGGCGCAGCCACTTGGGAGCCAGGCCCAGCCAATCAGAATGCGTTTTTCACCACAAAAGTTCTTGATTACAGACAGAAATACTCCTCAGTTTCATCAGCTGGTCTCAGACAGGTGAAAGTCGGGGTCCTGGGATGGCGTGTTTACACAGGGTCTGCGGTTGTGAGGCTGGTTGGATGCATTGCCAAATACTCTAAAACGACGTTGGAGGGGGCTTATGGTAGAGAAATTAACATTAAATTCTCTGGCAACAGCTCTGTTGGACATTCCTGCAGTCAGCATGCCAATGGCACGCTCCCTCAAAATTTGAGACATTTGTGGCATTGTGTTGTGTGACAAAACTGCACATAAGAGTGACCTTTAATTGTCCCCCAGTATAAGGTGCACCTGTGTAATGATCATGCTGTATAATCAGCTTCTTGATATGCCACACCTGTCAGGTGGATGGATTATCTTGGCAAAGGAGAGATGCACAAAATATGAGAGAAATTAGCTTTTTGTGCTTATGGAACATTTCTGGGATGTTTTATTTCAGCTCATGAAACATAGGACAAACACTTTACATGTTGCATTTATATTTTTGTTCAGTATAGTTACGTTGGGCACGGCGCGCATGACACCGACAAATCACCAAAGGCACACTATTTCTGTTTGAAAATTTAGAAAGGGCAGAGTTGGACCGTTTTTCATGCTCAAAGTCAACCTTTAAAAGGAAAGTATTGGCACCGTGTGAGAGAAACAACTTTGACCAAATAGAATTTAGTAAAAACTGTTATACAGAAAATCTCATGGCAACTACAAGGTTTCCAAAGTACAAGATGTTCTGTTAAGGCAGTAATAATAAGGTGGAATAAGGTAAGTCTGAAATCCAGACATTATTGCCAATGTTAATGAGTTCATTAAGGTTAGAGTTTCTTTTTCAATGTTCCTTTTTTATTTTCCCCATGAGACACAAATATAATTTCAGTAAATGATTAATATTGTGCTGTCTGAAATGGAACAGTTATTTTGTGCTCTCCACGTCCCTAAAGAAGTGTATTACTCTTGAGATAAGTGAAAATGATTTACATTAAATGTAACCATAACCATATAAATCCAGTCTAGATAGAACAAGTTATTGGTATTCTCAAAAAATTTGGCCTGAAATCTTCCCTCTTTGAGGACCATCCTTGCTGGATGGAAAGTCGTTTTTTTGTGCAGAGAAAGGCTTCCCACCCTTTGACCTAATTCTTGGTTCAGGTAGACAAACATTCAAATGTTGGATTTGATGGGTACATGCCCAATTAAAAATCCCAAACCAATGTTTGATATGCAAACAAACAAATAGTACAGTAGCTAATAGACAGGGCACAGAGAGAGCGACGACTCTGAATGTCCACTAGGGGTTTCTGTAAGCCTGTAGAATCCTTTGGAGAGTAGGGCCGTTGTGTTCATGTAGCATCAGGTAGGAAGCAGCCACAGTGTAGTCTGTGGTTTCTCTACTGTTAGTCCAGTTAAACAACACTCCAGCCTGCCAGTGCAAACACGCGGGACAGTTGTGGCCTTTCGGTTAGACCCCCTCCTCTCCCAGGGCTCCTACACAACGCTCCCAAGCTCTGTGGACTCTGTATCGGAATCCTGATCGCCCTCCCTGTTTCAGAATGGGAACAGCCAAGAGTTAGACACAAAGGACTTGGCTTGTTCAAGAGGGTTCTTATTCATGGAAGAGCGGCTAAGGCTTAAAGCACGTCATTTGCATTTAGCTGAGGTATAGCAAAAGATGAGAAAGATGCCAGAAAGGGACTAAGTTTAGTGTCCCCCTGCAAGAGATTGGTCACTGGATCTTTTAGTTCCCCAGTGCACTTAATTTAGGAAAAAATAGCTTGGGTCGTGCATGAACCCTGTTCTATTACAATGAGTGTCTGGCTTAGATACCCCCAATCAGCCCTAATCGTGAGTGTGTTTGGCCTGACTCACCGCATCTCCTGCAGTAGTTTCCTGTTGCCTTGCCTCCTCTCCTCGTCAATGGGGTAGGTCTTGAATATCAACAGCCCCAGGAATATCAGAACAACAGGAGCAGCTGAGACCAGCACCTTCAGGGTTAAATTCACTGCGTCGGGTTGCGAGCAGCCTCTGGTCACATACCCGGCAAAGCTGCTCAAAATGTACAGGGAGAGAGAGAAGAAAACAATGCGGATATAATAGGTACAGTTTGGCTTGATTATGAGTGTGAGGATTATGTTATGGTTCCCCACATGACTGGTCCGTTGGCCCAAGGAAAATGAAACTAGCTTAAATGCATTTATCCTACATTAGAATTTAGGCCATTTCTGAGAAAATATGATTCACTAAGCTGTTAGGAGTCCTGCAAAATAGAGTTAGATTTCAAACTAAGCTCATTAAATTGTCAACATGCTCAGTTTACCATGTACAATACATGCAAGAGAGGGACACACACTTACTCTAGACTGAGAGTGGAGATGCCGAGGGAGATTCCTGAGGCAAACTTGGTGAAGAAGACATAGAAGGAGTAGAAAATGGCCTCGTGGCCACTAGAGTCTGGATTCTTCACTTTGAAATCATCCACCACATCTGGGAGCATTGACCTGAGAAACAGAGAAAGATGTGAATGTATACAAAAAGGCAAGACCCACCACAGACTGGACATAAGTAAAGAGACACTGGAGATATATGATAGCGATCATCTATAGGTTGTTATGGGTATATGGAGGTACATTCAAACAGTAGGCTACTTACCAGGGTAGGAGGAAAGCTGCAGCCACACTGACTCCTGCTGCCACAGAGACCACATAGGCCACAATGAGACTGCTCTCTATGCAGATGATCAGGATCATGAAGGGCACTGCCCACTACAGAGATAGACACATAGGATAGACATGAATGAAATAAGTCATGAGAGAGCGCCCCATACATACACACATACCAGCTTTGAGATGAAGCTCCACAACAACACACACTGCTTACTGTGATGCCAATGTAGACTGCAGTCTTCTTCCCAAATCTGGTCAGGAACCACTGCCAGAATGGAATGGACAAAGTCCCAGAGAGCTAAAAATGAAACACCAAAGAAGAGCATTAAGATATTTAACCATTTCCATAAAAATGAATAGAAATACTCCTCTTAAGCACGGAGGGCAATGTGGGAACAGAAAAGGTCAGACTGACTGATGGGCTAAAACATAATGGGAGCAGGACACAATTTGAAAGGGCTCTTTATTTAACCCTGCAGGGGGTCCATGACCCTTGACCTCTTATAGAGGTGTGGTCAACCAGTGTGTCAAATGACCACACAAGGATTAGCTAGTGGCTGAGCACTCAGCAGTATTAGAAATATCTAACACTATGCTGACCAAAGCCAGCAGCATCTAAGGACCTAGCCTTGCATGTATGGCAGTTGGAAGATTTGGCTAAAGCACAAACAGATCTGGTGACCAGGCTACTAACGACCTTTCTAAATTCCCACATTTCCTGCTCCAGTGGCCAGACAGGGCAGTGCATGGCAGCTCTACATCCTACTCAGGCAGAGGGAGAAGCGACTGTGCAGAAAAGAAGGAATGGTAAATTGGAGAGAAATGCCAAAGCTTACAGATTGCCCGAGCAACAAAGGCCCCTCTGTGCTCCTTTCTCACCCCTGCTCCCTGTAATGGAGTGTGTGAGATGGGGACAGGTTCCCAGCGGCCACAACAACACTTCCTCTCACCCCAAAAATGTGCCCTTTCATCCCCTTCCATGAGGAAAACCCCCCTAAAACAGTCACGGAAACACCATGGAACCACAGACGTTACTCTACCCCACAAGGTGACCTTTCAGTCAGCACAGAAAGTACAGGTGTTAATGTACAGAATGCACAGGTCTTAATGTACAGAATATACATCCACTTTGTGTTAGGCCTCTAGTGGGAAGGAACACTAGACTCACCATAATGACCAGGAGAATGTTCTGGAAGTCATTTCTGAAGCCCAGGGTGTAGGTGATGAACAGGGCAAAGTTCCCCTCCAGGAGCTGCCAGGAGAGCAATGACATACACATTACATTTACATTACATTTTACTTATTTAGCAGACGCTCTTATCCAGAGCGACTTACAGTTTTAGTGAGTGCATACATTTTCATACTGGCCCCCCGTGGGAAACGAACCCACAATTCTGGCATTGCAAGCGCCATGCTCTACCAACTGAGCTACACATCAACCACTGAACATACAGGAAGTCATATACATACAGGAAACCAAACACCAGGGTTACACACCCTATAGCTTGTCATAAATATTTGTTTGTTTGTTTGTTTATGTGTGTGCGTGTAACTGTATCCCATTCTAGGAGTGTGACTCACCATGAAGGCCAGCGAGGTGAAGAGGAATCCCATGACCAGTTTGACATACGGCCCGTATCCCATCACCATCCTCATGCCCTCAAAGAACGACATGGGCTCTGTCTTCAGACGCCCACACTCTATGACCAAAACAAAGATGGCGATTAAAACTAACCTATTAGGTGCACTGTGCCAAACATCAGCTGAAGAAGACTTATCTGATGATCTTTATCCCTCGTCCATGACATTTACTGACTGCCAAAATGTGTCCCTCTCCTAGTTACTTGTAACAAAGAATTCTTGGAACATTGGAGGGTTGAGAGGAAGTGGAAAAGTTTTCCTGAGGATAACAAACAAAGCTGTTGTACTCTAAATATGAGAAATAACTTGAAGTTATGTCATTGTAAAAATTCAGATAAAGAGAAAAACATTTTCTTCTCCATTAATCAATTCTCACCTTCCTGCTCTCTGACTCCCAGGAACAGGACTGCAGCACAGAGAACGTAAATGGCACAGATGACTCCTGAGGCAATCAGGTAGGCTTGTTTCTGTTAGAGGGACAGGAGGAGCAGGATTAGGGTAAAATTCCACTTTACCATTACAGTGTTATGACATGTTAAAAAACATGTCATCCCTGGGGTCTCCCTCTCACAGTTTCATCCAGGGAGATGTGAGAGATGTTGACATCTGACCCCAGCAGTGTGGAGTTACTGTTGTCAAGGACATCCAGGTAACCCGGGAGACAGGGGGCGATCGCCCCACCCACAATCTGTCCCTGGATCGCCGTGCCAACCACTGTGCCCAGCACCTCCACCGTCATACCTGAAGGGAGAAGGGATGAAGAGAGCGAGAGAGAGTAGAATGAAGACCTCATATTACAACCACATGAGATGCTACATAACTGCAAAGATGTACAGGTTGACTTACGGTAGGCCGTGGCAGAGTCTCTCTCTTTCTGGTCTGTGCTGATAAACATGGTGAGCGCTGAGTACGGCACATGGAAGCACTGCACACAAAAACAATGAAATCAATTCCTGGCACAGAATTGCTGTAAGTAGCAGTACAAGTAAAAGTATTGTTGTCTGTTAGTTTACTCCAATCAGGGTAGGGATAATATATATATATATATACACACACACACAGTGGGGGAAAAAAGTATTTAGTCAGCCACCAATTGTGCAAGTTCTCCCACTTAAAAAGATGAGAGAGGCCTGTAATTTTCATCATAGGTACACGTCAACTATGACAGACAAATTGAGAAGAAAGAAATCCAGAAAATCACATTGTAGGATTTTTAATGAATTTATTTGCAAATTATGGTGGAAAATAAGTATTTGGTCACCTACAAACAAGCAAGATTTCTGGCTCTCACAGACCTGTAACTTCTTCTTTAAGAGGCTCCTCTGTCCTCCACTCGTTACCTGTATTAATGGCACCTGTTTGAACTTGTTATCAGTATAAAAGACACCTGTCCACAACCTCAAACAGTCACACTCCAAACTCCACTATGGCCAAGACCAAAGAGCTGTCAAAGGACACCAGAAACAAAATTGTAGACCTGCACCAGGCTGGGAAGACTGAATCTGCAATAGGTAAGCAGCTTGGTTTGAAGAAATCAACTGTGGGAGCAATTATTAGGAAATGGAAGACATACAAGACCACTGATAATCTCCCTCGATCTGGGGCTCCACGCAAGATCTCACCCCGTGGGGTCAAAATGATCACAAGAACGGTGAGCAAAAATCCCAGAACCACACAGGGGGACCTAGTGAATGACCTGCAGAGAGCTGGGACCAAAGTAACAAAGCCTACCATCAGTAACACACTACGCCGCCAGGGACTCAAATCCTGCAGTGCCAGACGTGTCCCCCTGCTTAAGCCAGTACATGTCCAGGCCCGTCTGAAGTTTGCTAGAGTGCATTTGGATGATCCAGAAGAGGATTGGGAGAATGTCATATGGTCAGATGAAACCAAAATATAACTTTTTGGTGAAAACTAAACTCGTCGTGTTTGGAGGAAAAAGAATGCTGAGTTGCATCCAAAGAACACCGAGTTGCATCCAAAGAACACCATACCTACTGTGAAGCATGGGGGTGGAAACATCATGCTTTGGGGCTGTTTTTCTGCAAAGGGACCAGGACGACTGATCCGTGTAAAGGAAATAATGAATGGGGCCATGTATCGTGAGATTTTGAGTGAAAACCTCCTTCCATCAGCAAGGGCATTGAAGATGAAACGTGGCTGGGTCTTTCAGCATGACAATGATCCCAAACACACCGCCCGGGCAACGAAGGAGTGGCTTCGTAAGAAGCATTTCAAGGTCCTGGAGTGGCCTAGCCAGTCTCCAGATCTCAACCCCATAGAAAATCTTTGGAGGGAGTTGAAAGTCCGTGTTGCCCAGCGACAGCCCCAAAACATCACTGCTCTAGAGGAGATCTGCATGGAGGAATGGGCCAAAATACCAGCAACAGTGTGTGAAAACCTTGTGAAGACTTACAGAAAACGTTTGACCTGTGTCATTGCCAACAAAGGGTATATAACAAAGTATTGAGAAACTTTTGTTATTGACCAAATACTTATTTTCCACCATAATTTGCAAATAAATTCATTAAAAATCCTACAATGTGATTTTCAGGATTTTTTTCTTCTCATTTCGTCTGTCATAGTTGACGTGTGTACCTATGATGAAAATTACAGGCCTCTCTCATCTTTTTAAGTGGAAGAACTTGCACAATTGGTGGCTGACTAAATACTTTTCCCCCCCACATATATATATATATATATATATATATATATATATAATAAATAAATATATATAATAAATAAATATGCAAACAATTACATTGATAGAACCCACAATCTGCAATATTAAAGCTGATCCAAACACACAAATAAAACATTAATTAATTACAACCATATCACAGTTCAATGGTGATTGAGGAACAATGAATGGTAATATGTGCCCCTTCTTATTAATAACATATTTTTTCACTAACAATAAACTGTGTATAGGGGAGACTGACCGTCTGCAGAGACTGGAAGAGACAGTAGAAGACCAGATACCACAGGACCTTCCCCTGCTCCACTGGAGGGACATACCAGATCAGGAAGTACGTGAGCACCGCAAAGGGAGTGGAGATGAGGATCCTGAGGGGAAAACAGGACAGGATCAATAAAATGTAATGGAGGAGCATTTGCATGTGTTGGTGTCTAAGTAGGTCTATTTCATCTTGGTGACTGGAGAAAAAATGATATACTATAAAAAGAAATGTTTCTACAGTATTGAAGCAGTAAATATTTGTTCTCACAATTATGATTTCCACGAGTCCCTGCCAGGCTAAGTGTGGCACCTGGTAGTGTTGGCAGTAGTGGTAGCAGAATTTGGGCACTAACTTATGTCATCTGCATAGGGTTGAGATATATACACTGAACAGAAATAAACGCAACATGCAACAATTTCAAAGATTTTACTGAGCTACAGCTCATACAGTGAGGAAAAAAAGTATTTAGTCAGCCACCAATTGTGCAAGTTCTCCCACTTAAAAATATGAGAGAGGCCTGTAATTTTCATCATAGGTGCACGTCAACTATGACATACAAAATGAAAAAAAGAAATCCAGAAAATCACATTGTAGGATTTTTTATGAATTTATTTGCAAATTATGGTGGAAAATAAGTATTTGTTTTTCCCCTACAAAAGGGCTTTATTACAGACAGAAATAGTCCTCAGCACCCTGGGCATTGTGTTGCGTGACAAAACTGCACAATTTAAAGTGGCCTTTTATTGTCCCCAGCATAAGGTGCACCTGTGTAATGATCATGCTGTATAATCAGTTTCTTGATATGCCACACTGGTCAGGTGGATGGATTATCTTGGCAAAGGAGAAACGCTCACTAACAGGGATGTAAACACATTTCTGCCAAAAATATGAGAGAAAGAAGCTTTTTGTGTGTATGAAAAATTTCAGTGATTTTTTATTTCAGCTCATGAAACATGGGACCAACAATTTACATGTTGCGTTTATATTTTTGTTCAGTGTATAAACTTAAGTATCCAACTTGAACCCCGTCGCTTTCTAATTTTCTTACATTCACATTCCCCTTTTTATTTTTTATTTCTGTGCATTGAAATCTATAACCCTTAATCCCCTGTTATTTGGGTCTGTGTACGGAGAAGGGGTTCAGAATGGGCTCACTGTGGCCTTTCTCTCTGCACTGTGCCTGCTGACAGGGAGACTGTGGTGGGCTGTCCTTATAGTGACGCCATACTGACTCGCCTCACCCTCACACCACTCTACAGGCACAATCACACAATACACCTGACCAGCAGACCAATACACCCCAGCTAGAGAAGCAGAACAGCCATAGAGAACAATGGTTCCACTACTGCAGCGGTCTCCAACAGGTAGACCAGTAGCTCGCAGGCGACCTCTGAGTAGCTCGCCAATCAATTCTGAAAGTACATGCATTTTGTCATGTGTTCTATCTCAAACTGTCATAAACATAAAGGTCCCAGCTACTATTCAATCAAAGCAACATTGACGTTATCCCATCCCTGGTTAGGCACTATTGGCTTAAAAAGCCAAATGTAACAATATCTGACAATTAATTTCCAGCAATATTGCCCCTCTGTCTATCATCTGTCAGTATGTAGCCAGTTAGCGATGCTAATGATACCCTGCATCTTGTGAGTAGAAAGACTTTCCCCAAAAACCTTCTCAATTAAATAAATGTAAACTGCAAAGTAGGCTTCCCTGACAGAACTATATCATGATTATTTGTATCAATTGGGTGGCCATTGTTTTGAGATGTTCTGCAGCAGTAGGCCTTATTGCAGAAACATTGCTAAACCAACACATTCAATTAAAGGGGAATTACACCAAAAAATCTAAATGTGCTCGTTTTCCAGACCTCAAATTGTCTTCTGATATGATTTAAGCATTGACATAACTCAGAACATCCATTTCGCTGTTTCTCTATGAATAATTGTTATATTGTGAGTAAAAAACGAACAAAAAAAAACCTAACAAAAAAACTGGAAGAAAAAAACTGCGAAAACAGAATTTGGGAAAATACTAAAGATAATGTTATGGGGCCTGTCATGCCAAATACTGTTTATTAACCATTCGATTACCAGGTATATTGACAGAATACACACCAAAGACCAGGGGAAGAGAAGAATGTGCGTATTTGAAAGCTAGAAAAAAAAACATTGCAACACATTTCATTTTTTTACAAGTAGCACCAATGCTAGAAAAGGTTGGAGACCCCTGCCCTACTGGGTTTCCAGCAGACCAGTCCACGCAAAATAATAGAAGTCGGGGGCATTGCTGGCAGGGTGTTTCGGAGACAAGTATATATCGACTAAGAGATTTTTCTATGCTTGCAGGGCAGCGGGCGTTCCATTTGTCTCAGCCGCTCACTGGTCTCAGTAAAAGCCACACAGTTGAGAACAGCGGTCACTGTAACATTGCATGCTCATCTGCCAAGTGTTTTAATCACTACAACTACATTAATACTTTATAGCAATCTCTTGCTAAGAAGTAATGTTTCTTTCTATTCATAATCTGTGTTTGACCTGCAATTATGGCACCTATAGTCCCCAGGGGGCCTATCAGCTAACTGAACTGAAAATGCTTGTTTGTTTATCTGACATGACACATGTCGACCCAACTCACAAATGGCCAGTCAATGGGAATAGCCCATCCTCTGTAGCCCACACCCACTGAACTGGAGAAGCCCCTCCATCTTCTTCCTTAGCCTATGTGGGCTGACTAAAGGGGGTTAATGAGAGTCAATAAGCTGATCTGACTGGAAATAGAGGTCAGATTTCTGCTTGATTCTCTGCATTTTGTACACCGTCACTCGGTTGAATACACAAAGCTCACAGCATGAGCACGATGGCAGCCCAACCCACTTAGGGGGGTAGGCGAGAAACGAGAGAGGGGCGGCAGGTAGCTTAGTGGGTAAGAGCGTTGTGCCAGTAACCGAAAGGTCGCTGGTTCTAATCCCTGAGCCGACTAGGTGAAAAATCTGTCGATGTGCCCTTGAGCAAGGCACTTAACCCTAATTGCTCCTGTAAGTCGCTCTGGATAAGAGCGTCTGCTAAATGACAAAAAAAAAAAAAAAAAGGCTCACGGTTTTATTTAGCAAACAGACTGGATCATCTGCCTGTGAGAAACAATGTGCTTGTTCAAGTTATGTCAACATTGAAGTATTATGATATTGATAAGACAAAGAGAGAGACTATTAAAGTACTTCTCAGCAGAGCCCATTAAGATAACATTGTGTTCTCGCTCTTAAAACAATGATCCTTTTGATGTTATTTTTAGATGATTATTTAATCATACAGCTATCGGTCTGTCTTGCAGGCGGATACAAGGAAGAGGGTTCTAGAATTCCACAGTGTTTAGGACTAGCGCATAAAATTCTGGGAAAAACATCTTCCACTTATAGTGCCAATTAAAAAGGCTGGCGCATTCAGATGGGAAAAGAGCTTTAGTCAAGGTTAAGTTAAGTGCTGCATTATTGATAGTGAGGAAGACATCTAAATCTCCTTGTCTGTGCTAAGGCTCTGATAAGAACACGCTGGGGGCTTTGTGGTGGTTTGTACAGGCCAGATAACTGCACACACAGCCACCTCCTAACAATGACCTACCTCATTGACATGCAGCCAAGAATCTCCCCTCTACTTGACCTGTGGTAACTTCTCTCTGGATTAGCCGAGCCCCCTCCTAAACTGCCATTCTGGGATCACACACACACGCGCTTCTCAGGCCCCCATTGTCCTAAATCCAGATGTGTGTTGAGGGTTGGACCAATCAGAGAAGGAGAAGCTGGTTCTTTCTCCACCCGGCATCCTACATTACATGCCCAGGGTCCTAAGATATCAAGCGAATCCAGCTACCTTACCATCATGAATAAACCTCTATCGACGGAATTCCTAGACAGTCACGGTATTATGCCAAATATACATTTTAACCACAAAATTTCACTCTGTCCTCTTGTAGAGGAGTATATGAAAATATACAGCAGCATGTTATATAGCAGTGGTCACTATGTTCCCTCTGGTTTAAATAACTTTGGGTGCTGCTACTGTGTGTGACCATGCACAGACCAAAGGCCAGAGAGGTGACAGGGATCAGTGTTTCTATTGACCACATGGGGTCATATAGAGTTTCACAGGGGCATATAAACTAGGCTGTAACGTGCTTGGTAGCAGGGGTAGGATGCTGTTAGAGATCATCTCTCTTTACAAACAACTGTCTCACGGTGTTAAATACCTCCCATTATGGCATTCCTACAACCATATGTCAAATCAAGGCTAGGTATGCCTTGATAGAGCATACCTAGCAACAAAACCGTAACGGTTAATAATGGTGTTCTTCGACGTGAGGATTACTTTTGCCGTAGCATTGTGTGGATCATTGCCGAATCTTATATGCAATGCTCATGTGTTTAGATGAACAGTGTGTGACACGGGAGCTCTGCTTTCATCAACTAGTGACAGGCATTCTGGGCTGTCGTACTCAGTCCAAATGCACTCCCATTACTTTAGAGAGGGAACTCACTGCTCTCTTCCGTTCCTGACATATGCCACCCACCACTAGGCTTAACAGTCTCGCTTAGGGCATCTGGGGCAAAATCATAGAATTAGAAATCAATTTCTTTGGGCACAGGCTTCAAAGCACACAGAGCCTTTCGTGGAATATCGCAGTGCAAGCACAGAACAAAAAGAGAAAGCACCTGGGTATTCCAAAACTAACTAAAATAAGATTTAGCCTCATTCCAGTCTGTCCTGGTTTGCACCCAGAGGAGAAGTTAAAAGCTATTACAATCCAAGACGGACAGTGCCCAACAGCAGATAAAGATTGAGTATTGAGGTAAAATTGAGAACAAGTTATGCATATCACTGACAGCCTGTTCTTTCTATTCAAGCCTTTCCACTTCAGCTTTGTTGTCACGGTTACCACCCATATTTCAATTTCAACTAATGTTCTCGCTCTAGGCATGATGAGAGGTTTTGTTTTGATTTCTTCTTTCATTCCTGCCTGCTGTAAAATGTCCACTGGGTGACCGAGGCGGAGACACCTACCAGGGCATCATCCGGCCACACCGGGTCCATCTGCTCCGGCTCACCAGGAAGCCCACCGTTGGGTCTGTCACTGCATCCCAGGCCCGGCCCACAAACAAAATGATAGAGGCATAAAATGGGTCCAGCTATGGAGAGACAGAGTTAAAGGGAGAGAGAGAGAGAAATAACTGAGGGGGAGGGATATACATAATTAATTGTCTGTCAGACCACTACAACCACAGACATCAGCCATCACCTCTCCTCACAGAAGGAGTGGCCATTGAAACAGAAATAAAAATAAGCCATCTTTTGCAACAAGATGACTCCAAGAGGATATTTGGAGAGTTGCCAAGGTTGTGTAAGGACAGTCAGTGATACATGGCGAGGCCACATTGGCAACATTACCATCTGAACAGTGTGGTGTTTAAGACCATTCCAAGGAGCTCATCATCTCTGGTTGAATGAGTTGTATTCAGTGTGCACAGTTTATCACTTGCTAATTGAGAGACAAAGCAAAGCAGTAGGAGTCAGAGTTAAACTGCTTCAATAGAAGAGTCATGCCAGAGGCTGTCAGAATGAAACCAGCTATTTGGCCTTCCCCTTAAAATCAGTTCCCCCTGTACTGTCTAGTGACAGTGAGCTCAGAAAGTTTACAGTATTCTGAAAATAGATGAGACAAAATATATACACGGTTGACCTTCTCTGCTGTGCTTTAAATGACAGCATTTCAAGACAAGGACAAGAACTGATACAGTACAAAGCTCATCGGATACTGAAGTGCTGAAAGTGAACTATAATTTCCAGTTCTGCCCTAGGAGCCTATTCCTGACAACTGACTCGAACACTGACGTACTGTGCTCTTTGTCTTGGGGCTCTATTACAGTGCCTATATAGAGATGCCTAGCTTGGGACTTCCCCTCTAGGTCCCCCACCCTGGTGTTGCCCTCTGGCTCAACCCCCATCTCACTTACCTGGGCCACATCCAGCAGGTAGATCTGGAGGAAGAAGCCCAGAGCACTGCCTGTGATCTGGTAGGGAGCCCCTCCAATGGCATAGCACAACTTCCTGCACACTGACAGACGGCCGCTGTCGTCCCTCTGCTGGAGAATAGGGAGAGAAGAAGACTCACATAGCAGGATGATAGGACACAATGTTTTGTTATACACTAAATACAGAAATGAAGAACACAGTGAAAGCACTGGATTTTAATGGGTTGCTATTGATACACAATTTAGCTGTGTTGTGATACAGGGCTTTTTGTATGTCCATATCCAACTTGGACTTTGTATTAAAAACTGACAAAATGTTGGGGGCATTTCATTTCAATATATTTAGCCAGGATAGTCCACTCAGTAACAATTGCCACTGTTTTCCAGGGAGTCCTGGGTTCCATATAATCAATAAAACAGATAACACACCATACACAGAAGCATATACAGCATATTCATTAGCATACATACAAAAGCACAGCTAAAATCACAGCACACACTTCATACTCGGTAACATACATTCAAAACCACGCTCACATTACAGCTACCTAGATATGTGTGCAGCTCTTTTGAAGGCGGACATGCTAGCAAACTATCATGTGGATAAGTCCAGGTTGTTCGAGAGCAAAAGGTACAAAGAACTGCCTTGGAAGGCCATGTTTTTCACTGATGGTTGTGCCAGTAGGTGCGGGTCTCATTGGTCATAGGCTTTGACTGCTGTGCCCCCGGAGGATGGGTGGAGACTCCTACCTGAACAGGTCTGACATGTATTCATGCAGTTTGTGCTGTGTCACCTTGATAAGTCCCTAGGGTGTTGTAATGGATCCAGTCAGTCAGTGGTTCGATTCCAGTTTTTGGCAGAAAAACCTCTGTGTGTGTTAACAACAATAATAATAATAATAATAATAATAATAATAATAAGCCATTTAGCAGACGCTTTTATCCAAAGCGACTTACAGTCATGTGTGCATACATTTTTACATATGGGTGGTCCCGGGGATCGAACCCACTACCCTGGCGTTACAAGCGCCATGCTCTACCAGTCATGATACAAGCAGCCCTGTTGATGATACGTTGTAGCTGGTTAAGACCGGTCTTATTAAACTGATGTAGGGTGGGAAGCAACACTGTGGCGCAGTAGTCCAGGTGAATTGTTATCATGGTGTGGTAAATGGTGTGGAGGATGTCCTTGGAGACAAAGTCCCTTGCCCTTTTTAGAGCGCCAAGCCCAGACAGCAATTTCCCTGTGACCAGGCTGGCGTGTTTAGACCAGTGTAGGTCCAACTTCATCCCCAGGTATGGCGTTTACTTGTTCATAAGTGTTTTGTCCGTATGTTACTGTGATACTTTTGCCTGTGTATCTCAGCTTTTATGAGTTGCCAAACAACATTGTCTTGGTCTTCTGAGGGTGTATGGAGAGCTTGTTGTTAGCGAACCAAGATACTGCCCTCTTGATGTCGTTTGACACTGCCTCCTCACACTCCCCGGTGGTATTAGCTGAGTAGTACAGGACTGTCTTCTGCATATATACACTACCGGTCAAAAGTTTTAGAACACCTACTCATTCAAGGGGTTTTCTTTATTTGTACTATTTTCTACATTGTAGAATAATAGTGAAGACATCAAAACTATTGAATCATGTAGTAACCAAATAAGTGTTAAACAACTTAAAATAAGTTGTAAGTCGCTCTGGATAAGAGCGTCTGCTAAATGACCAAAAAAAAAAAAAAAAATTTTTTTTAAAATAATAAAAATAAATAAAACATTAGCCACCCTTTGCCTTGATGACAGCTTTGCACACTCTTGGCATTCTCTAAACCAGCTTCATGAGGTAGTGCATTTCAATTAACAGGTGTGCCTTCTTAAAAGTTAATTTGTGGTATTTCTTTCCTTCTTAAGGAGGGGGGGGGGGGGGGGGTATACATAAGATAGCCCTATTTGGTAAAAGACCAAGTCCATATTATGGCAAGAACAGCTCAAATAAGCTAAAAGAAACGACAGTCCATCATTACTTTAAGACATGAAGGTCAGTCAATACGGAACATTTCAAGTAACAGACACATCTCAACATCAACTGTTCAGGGGAGACTGTGTGAATCAGGCCTTCATGGACAAATTGCTGCAACAAAAAAAAACACTACTAAAGGACACCAATAATAAGAAGAGACTTGCTTGGGCCAAGAAACACGAGCAATAGACATTAGACCGGTGGAAATTTGTTCTTTGGTTTGGAGTCCAAATTTGAGATTTTTGGTGAGACGCGGTGTGGGTGAACGGATGATCTCCGCATGTGTATTTCCCACTGTAAAGCATGGAGGAGGTGGTGTTATGGTGTGGGGGTGCTTTTCTGGAGACACTGTCTTATTTATTTAGAATTCAAGGCACACTTAACCAGCATGGCTACCACAGCATTCTGTAGCGATATGCCATCCCATCTGGTTTAGGCTTATCATTTGTTTTTCAACAGGACAATGACCCAACACACCTCCAGGCTGTGTAAGGGCTATTTGACCAAGAAGGAGAGTGATGTAGTGCTAAATCAGATGACCTGGCCTCCACAATCCCCCGACCTCAACCAAATTGAGATGGTTTGGGATGAGTCGGACTGGAGAGTGAAGGAAAAGCAGCCAACAAGTGCTCAGCATATGTGGGAACTCCTTCAAGACTGTTGGAAAAGCATTCCAGGTGAAGTTGGCTGAGAGAATTCCAAGAGGGTGCAAAGCTGTCATCAAGGCAAAGGGTGGCTATTTGAAGAATCTCAAATATAAAATATTTTTGGTTACCACATGATTCCATATATGATTCCATATATTGATGGGCTTATGTCTGTTAAATTGTCTGTCCTGAATGGTGTGCCCCAGGGCTCTGTACTTGGTCCTCTCTTTTTCACTATTTATATTAATGATTTAGACAAAAATGTCCAAAATGCACAACTTCATTTTTATGCTGATGATACTGTTATTTACTGTTGTGCCTCATCTCTTACAAAAGCTTTCCAGAACTTGCAAACTGCTTTTTATACTGTTCAACATACCTTGTGTCAATTGAAGCTTATCCTCAATACTGACAAAACTAAACTAATGGTGTTTTCTAATGCAAGAAATAGACCTCTGAACCTTTCACCTGTTACTACCTGTCAGGGCAAGGAGATTGAGGTTGTAACCTCATATAAATATCTTGGAATTCTAATTGATGACGGCCTCTCTTTTAAATTGCATATTCAACAACTTACAAAAAAATTGAAGCTGAAATTGGGATTTTATTTTAGGAATAAGGCCTGTTTTTCTTTTGAAGCCAGAAGGAGGCTAGTATCAGCTACATTTATGCCTTTACTAGACTATGGGGACATTTTATATATGAATGCTTCCGCTCAGTGTTTGAGATCAATTGACACTCTTTATCATGGTACTTTGAGATTTATTTTAAACTGCAAAACCCTTACGCACCACTGTACTTTGTATACCAGGGTTGGCTGGCCTTCACTAGTCACTCGTAGGCTCAGTCACTGGTATACTTTTATTTACAAAGCCATTTTGGGTTTACTACCTTTTTATTTGGGCATTTTTATTGTTCAGAAATGTGGTGGGTACTCTCTTCGTTCACTGGACTTTATCCTGCTAACTGTTCCAAATGTCCGAACTGAATTTGGTAAAAGGTCTTTTATGTACTTACATTTACATTTACATTTTAGTCATTTAGCAGACGCTCTTATCCAGAGCGACTTACAGTTAGTACTCTGCGCCATCGTCTTGGAACACCTTACAAAATAATTTTAAACTGGAAGAACTTGTCCCGATTGGTGTTTTTAAATCTCTGATGAAGGATTTTGAGGCTGATTCCCTGACCTGTCAATGTTTTTAATTTGCTATTTTTGATATTGTTATACTCTTGTGAATTCATGAATGGTTTTTACTAGATTACTTGTAGTTTTTCATGTTGTCTGTCTGTAATTTTTTGTAATGACTTGGTGCTGCCTATCTTGGCCAGGACGCTCTTGAAAAATAGATTTTAAATCTCAATGAGCCCTTCCTGGTTAAATAAAGGTAAAAAAAAAAAAAAAAAAAAAAAAAAATTATATTATTTCATCATTATGTCTTTACTATTATTCTACAATGTAGAATAGGTGTTCTAAAACTTTTGACCAGTAATATATGTATGCTGCATTTCTCCAGCACTGATGGAAGGTCATTAATGTAAATGCAGAACAGCAGGGGTCCAAGCACACTCCCTTGTGGTACTCCATTCACCACAGGTACCTGGGCCGACTGCGTGCGCCTCAGTTTGGTGTACGGACTCCTCCCCTGTAAGTATGATGTGAACCACTTGATTGCAGTGCTGTCAAAGCCTAGTTTCGCAAGCTTTCTCAGGAGCGTGCGGTCTGTGAACAGTGTCAAAAGCTTTCTTCAGATCTAAGAAGAGTGCTGCTGTGACCTCCTGGCTGTTAAAAGCATACTTGAAGTCCTCCACAACCCTTTGCACTGCTGTAGATATGCTGTGTATCATCCTAAATCCGCCTTGATAGGCTGTAAATAGGCTGTTGAGTGAGAAATAGTTGGCAACCTGTGTGTGCACCAGCCTTTCCAACATTTGCGACTTTTAGAAGCCTAGGAGGAATATCGTCTGGCCCTGTGACTTTCTGCTGCGTCATCTTCAGAAGTTCATTTAGTACTGTTACTTCAACTAGCTCTAGCCAAAAACATGCTCTGTGTCAGACATATGAAAGTGGGTATTTGAGGGAGCCTGTATTTATTTAGTAAGCTTAGATGCAAAGTATTCATTAAACGCTGCCATTTCTAGAGGGTAAGATGTTCGAGGCATCCTGTCTAGATATACTTTGTACTTGGCATGTTATTTTTGCTTTAACAGTTATACCAGTGATTATTTTCCACATTGTTGTCTCCCTTGGATTTTTGTAGAGTAGCTGAGTAACAGTTTTTTGTTTCCTTCCTTACTTTAGCAGTTATGTCACTGGGCAGCCGCGAGCTGCCTTGTGACACAAGCCTACCAGACGAGCTAAATCACTTCTATGCTCACTTCGAGGCAAGCAACACTGAAGCATGCATGAGAGCATCAGCTGTTCCAGATGACTATGTGATCACGCTCTCCGTAGTCGATGTGAGTAAGACTTTTAAGCAGGTCAACATTCACAAGGCCGCAGGGCCAGACGGATTACCAGGACGTGTACTCCCAGCATGCGCTGACCAACTGGCAAGTGTCTTCACTGACATTTTCAACATGTCCCTGACTGAGTCTGTAATACCAACACATTTCAAGCAGACCACCATAGTCCCTGTGCCCAAGGACACTAAGATAACCTGCCTGAATGACTACCGACCCGTAGCACTCACGTCTGTAGCCATGAAGTGCTTTGAAAGGCTGGTCATGGCTCACAACACCATTATCCCAGAAACCCTAGACCCACTCCAATTTGCATACCGCCCCAACAGATCATGCAATCTCTATTGCACTCCACACTGCCCTTTCCCACCTGGACAAAAGGAACACCTACGTGAGAATGCTATTCATTGACTACAGCTCAGCGTTCAACACCATAGTGCCCTCAAAGCTCATCACTAAGCTAAGGACCCTGGGACTAAACACCTCCCTCTGCAACTGGATCCTGGACTTCCTGACGGGCCGCCCCCAGGTGGTAAGGGTAGGTAACAACACATCTGCCACACTGATCCTCAACACGGGGGCCCCTCAGAGGTGCGTGCTCAGTCCCCTCCTGTACTCCCTGTTCACCCATGACTGCATGGCCAGGCATGACTCAAACACCATCATTAAGTTTTCCAACGACACAACAGTGGTAGGCCTGATCACCGACAACAATGAGACAGCCTATAGGGAGGAGGTCAGAGACCTGGCCATGTGGTGCCAGTATAACAACCTCTCCCTCAACGTGATCAAGACAAAGGAGATGATTGTGACTGAGCACGCCCCCATTCTCATTGACGTGGCTGTAGTGAACAGGTTGAGAGATTCAAGTTCCTTGGTGTCCACATCACCAACAAACTATCATGGTCCAAACACACCAAGACAGTCGTGAAGAGGGCACAACAAAGCCTATCCCCCCACAGGAGACTGAAAAGATTTGGCATGTGTCCTCAGATCTTCAAGAAGTTCTACATCTACACCATCGAGAGCATCCTGACTGGTTGCATCACCGCCCGGTATGGCAACTGCTCGGCCTCCGACCGCAAGGCACTACAGAGGGTAGTACATATGGCCCAGTACATCACTGGGGCCAAGCTTCCTGCCATCCAGGACCTCTATACCAGGCGGTGTCAGAGGAAGGCCCTAAAAATTGTCAAAGACTCCAGCCACCCTAATCATAGACTGTTCTCTCTGCTACCGCACGGCAAGTGGTACCGGAGCGCTAAGTCTAGGTCCAAAAGGCTTCTTAACAGCTTCTACTCCCAAGCCATAAGACTCCTGAACAGCTAATCATGGCTACCCTGACTATTTGCACTGCCCCCCCACCCCATCCCCCTCTTATACGCTGCTGCTACTCTGTTTATTATTTATGCATAGTCACTTTAACTCTACCTACATGTACAGATTACCTCGACTAGCCGGTGCCCCCGCACATTGACTCTGTACCGGGACCTCCTGTATATACTGTTATTTTACTGCTGCTCTTTAATTATTTGCTTTTCATTTTTACTTATCAATTTTTTTACTTAACACAAAAACAAACAAAAAAACTGCATTGTTGGTTAAAGGCTTGTAAGTAAGCATTTCACTGTAATGTCTACACCTGTTGTATTCGGCGCATGTGGCAAATAACATTTGATTTGATTTGAGACATCTGTATCCTTTCCAGTCATTTTCAGCCTTTTTTTTTTCACCTCTTTTAGCTGAGCAGTATTGCTGTGACTCAGGGTCAGTCAGAGAGATGGAGTTACTTTTTGTTTCACTCTTCTCTGCCAGAGCAGTACATGAAGGTTTGCGACCTGTAAGAAGGCTTGCCAGGCCTCATTCACATTGTTGCATGAAAGGACTCTTTCCCAATGGTCTGACTTGAGAGTATGAAAGACTTCTGGTTATAGCGTTTGAGAGATCTGTGCTGTTGTGTTAAAACTCTCCCCTCCTCTAATCTCCCTTTGATGCAGGTCATTATGATATGGTCAGATGGCCCCCATGCTAATGAACTCCTCAGCTTGTAATGGTCAGGGTTAGATACATAGATGTTGTCAATGTATGTTTCAGACGGTTCCGTTATGCGAGTGGGTTCTCTTATTACTGGCCACAGCTGATAAAGTCCCATAAGGTGTTCCACAGATGATTGTGCATGTGTGCTTCAAGAGGTCAGAGTTAAAGTCCCCCATTATTGCCACCTCTGCCTTTTATGCCTTAGCGGTCATGTCTATTTTATGCAGGAAGGTTTCTGCTTGGGCATGCCATTCAGGGCCTGAGCTAGGGGAGCAATAAACACAGGTCAGGAGTGTCTTGCGTGTTTTCTGTGGTCTTATTTCTACAAAACCTAAACATTGTGCTTTGGGTTAAGCCTCTGACCATAGCTTTGTTTGTGACATGATTACCATTTTAGACAGGCATTTACTGGGTTAACTTGGGGAATGGTTCCTGATTTAAAAGCAGCAACTGTGTTGCACAACCTCTGCCATTTGGATTGCTCAGATTTGCAAGACAGTAGCACAAGTAGAAGCACTGTCCATGCTATACATTTTGTTCATGGTTAAAGATAAAATAAATAACCAAACTTCTTCCACTCTCTCACTTCATTTTTTCTCCACTGTCCCACTTCCTCCGCTCTCTCTTTCCCACTGTTTGTGTTTATCACCAGGTTAAGCAAAGCTTTACCTTGACAGCTGATTGTGTGCAGAGGGCATCGGCCCGGCCGGCCATCCATCTCCACAAGGTTGAGCTGCCGAGGAGGGAGAGCAGTGGCCGCTAGCCTAATGAGGCTCACCCTGAGCGGGGAGGAGAATAAGGGAAGGGCCTTGTGATGGATGGTGGAGGCTGGAGGACTGGGCTAAGGGTACCTTACAGATCACAAAGTCAGCGATTTTTCACTCCATTCATATGCAAATCCATTGGATTCATACACTGGCTTGTCTGGCTGGCATGTTTTTATTTAGAGTTTCCCTTGTCTACACGTCCTCTATTAGGATTAATTGTTTTCTCTCTCGCATACCCATCACTTGGGTATGAGCATCACTTCTTTGCTCATGTTTCTCTGTTCAGCACCTACTGTAACTGTTCAGGATGTGCATTTGATAATTAAAAAAAATGGGTCATAACTGTTCAGTCAAATTAAAACACACTGGCCAATCTCACCCACTTGGTCCTCTGAGTCTCTGGTTTATTTCAGACACTTCTGACCCAAAAGCAGTCAGTAAAGGGCAATTCCACGATAATGGAATTATGCTTTGACTCAGATTTTTCACTTTAAAATGTATTCCAAACAAAAACCATTGATTTCAAATTTGAACAAACCATACAACTTTATACATAAGGACTATTTGGAACAATTTACACAGAAAATCAAACTTACTGGAAGAACTGTGCAGATGCAAAGTTTGGTAACAGAATCACGATAAAATCTCCCTCAGTTATTTTATGCTACCACGCTTTCCAAAAATGTAAATATCTGCTCTGAATTAAGATTCAAAGATGTCTGCAGAAAGAATGGGGTGTCAGCTATGACGTGACACCTTGAGTTCGAAAAAATGGCCACAGTAATACATCTGTTAACGGAATTACATGATGGGTCCCTGATCAGTACTATACCAAAATGTATAATTATAGTTATGAATATTCTCTTCATGGTGATGTATCCTGAATAGGTACACAAAAAGGTATAAATATGCAATATCCTTCTTATATTTGGATATTATCCTACACGTCGGCAATTATTCTAATGAGCTCCGCCCCAAAACAAAACATTTGGTTGGTCCGGACCAGACCAAATCCGGACCAGACCAATCACGTCGGTTTCACAAGTTTGGACATCACAGTACAGGACAGTCGAGCACAGTAGAGTATATTACAGTAAAGTCGATATGTTCAGTACATTATACTGTACTCTACTCTAGTGTGCTCTACGTTTCTGTACTGTACAGTCCAAACTTGTGAAACAGACGTCTATGATTGGTTCAGATTTGGTCTGGCCAGGACGGACCAAATTTCAACGTCCATGGACATCGGGTGCTCAGTGGGTGAGGATGCTTGTTGCAGTAAATGGAAAGAGGGTAGGTGTCAGTAAGACCCGGGAAAGGTGACATGAAAAAACAGACACACACAGAGAGAGATTGTCCAGAATTTTTTTCACAGTCTTGCTTTGACCACCAGATGACAGAAATAAAACAGTTACGAGCTGAACATAACAGTATGCCAGTGGAAGGGGGGACAGCAGCAGGTGACCCAACTGTGGTTTGTACTACTATGATTTCCCATTGTAGCCAATTCAATTGCAGTAATTCAGTTACAGATTTTTTCTGTAATTCCGTTACCGATTTGGTTACAGAATTACGAGATTTGATCACTTAATTCATGAACAAACTTGATCAGTAAAAACTAACTGGTAGATCTACCTTTACTTTTTACTTCTGTGAACTTTCATTATCCTCCCTCATGAGGGAGAGAAATTAGAAAATATCTTAAGGATGTGGCTTTTTGGAAACAGCACAAGGCAAATAATTTATCCAAAACTAGGTATAAGTGTTGATATTAGTTAGCAGGGGTCTTTACATCAACATTAGTGTTTTGATGTATTTCTAATACCTTAAGACTTTCTGGTAGATGTTGTCTAAGACCCCTTTTCCATCTGTTTGACCAGAAATCAAAGCCTTTGCTTAGTCCAAATTATTTGGGTGGAAAATGGTTGAAAAATGTGTATGCCTTAATTTCTCAAAAATAAAGAGTTCGCTTTCATTTAACATGCTCCTATGAGCTTCACATGTTGGTCCTCATGGGTCCTTTTAGATGAAAAGGCCCTGTGTAGCTCAGTTGGTAGAGCATGGCGTTTGCAATGCCAGGGTTGTGGGTTCGACCAGTATGAAAAATGTATGCACTCACTAACTGTAAGTCGCTCTGGATAAGAGCGTCTGCTAAATGCCTAAAATGTAAAACAACATGACTCATTGTGAGGCCAAGATTGGCCAACCCTCCTCACCACACTTCTTAATGTCAGATTAGCACTAAATCCCTCTGACTATGCTGTCTGGGCCACAACTAGTTTCAAAAGGTGGTGTGAGACTGGGAGGTCACTGTAGTTCAGCCACTGTACAACTCCGCCGTGCCGGAGGTAGCGATTGGATCTGGCTATGTGATTAGGCATTCTGACATTCCATCAGTGGCCTGAGTGGCCCAGCAGTCTGCGGACAGTCAGGAGTGCACACCCCCCCTTCCTTCCAATCACAAAAACATCCTGCTGGTCAATGAGTAAATAAACCCAGTCCAATAGCCAATCAATGTAAAGAGTATCTATTCTGACACCATCCCATCTGTCACAGTGTTGTTATAAGCTCCTCTGACCTATTCATAGTACTTTCTCTGGTGAAATATGCCCGCATAGAATGGGAATTATGTCCCATATTGCCTTCAGGAATGCAGCCTAAAGACATCCTGTGTAGGACAACTTGTACGGAATATATACACAAAGGTATGTGGACACCCCTTCAAATTAGTGGATTTGGCTATTTCAGCCACATGCCTTGCTGACAGGTGTATAATAACGAGCACACAGCCATGCAATCTCCATAAACAAACATTGGCAGTAGAATGGCCTTACTGAAGAGCTCTGTGACATTCAACGTGGCACCGTCATAGGATGCCACCTTTCCAACAAGTCAGTTTATCACATTTCTGCCCCAGTCAACTGTAAGTGCTGTTATTGTGAAGCGGAAATGTCTAGGAGCACAACGGCTCAGCTGCGAAGTGGTAGGCCACACAAGCTCACAGAAGCGCGTAACAGGTAAAAATCGTCTGTCCTCGGTTGCAACACTCACTACTGCGTTCCAAACTGCCTCTGGAAGGAACATCAGCACATGAACTGATCGTTGGGAGATTCATGAAATGGGTTTCCTTGGCCGAGCAACCGCACACAAGCCTAAGATCACGATGCGCAATGCCAAACGTCGACTGGAGTGGTGTAAAGCTCGCCGCCATTGGACTCTGGAGCAGTGGAAACACATTCTCTAGAGTGATGAATCACCCTTCACCATCTGGCAGTCCGACGGATGAATCTGGGTTTGGCGGATGCCAGGAGAACGCTACCTGCCCCAATGCATAGTGCCAACTGTAAAGTTTGGTGGAGGAGGTATAATGGTCTGGGGTGTTTTTCATGGTCCGTGCTAGGCCCCTCAGTTCCAGTGAAGGGAAATCTTAACACTACAGCATACAATGACATTCTAGACAATTATGTGCTTCCAACTTTGTGGCAACAGTTTGGGGAAGGCCCATTCCTGTTTCAGCATGACAATGCCCCCGTGCACAAAGCGAGATCCATACAGAAACGGTTTGTCGAGATCGGTGTGGAAGAACTTGACTGGCCTACACAGAGCCCTGACCTCAACCCCATCGAACAGCTTTGGAATGAATTGGACCGCCGACTGCGAGCCAGGCCTAATCGCCCAACATCAGTGCCCGACCTCACTAATGCTCAAGGCTGAATGGAAGCAAGTCCCTGCAGCAATGTTCCAACATCTAGTGGAAAGCCTTCCCAGAAGAGTGGAGACTGTTATAACAGCAAAGGGGGGGGACCAACTACATATTAATGCCCATGATTTTGGAATGAGATGTTCGACGACCAGGTGTCCACATACTTTTGGTCATGAGATGGAGTACCAGTCAAAAGTTTGCACACCTACTCATTCAAGGGTTTTTCTTTATTTTTGTACTATTTTCTACATTGTAGAATAATAGTGAAGACATCAAAACTATGAAATAACACATATGGAATCATGTACTAACCAAAAGTGTTAAACAAATCAAAATATATTTTGAGATTCTTCAAAGTAGCCACCCTTTGCCTTGATGACAGCTTTGCACACTCTTGGCATTCTCTCAACCAGCTTCATGAGGTAGTCATCTGGAATGCATTTCAATTAACAGATGTGCCTTCTTAAAAAGTTAATTTGTGGAATTTCTTTCCTTCTTAATGCGTTTGATCAAATATTTTGTGTTCTGACAAGGTAGGAGTGGTATACAGAAGATATCCCTATTTGGTAAAAGACCAAGTCCATATTATGGCAAGAACAGCTCAAATAAGCAAAGAGAAATGACAGTCCATCATTACTTTAAGACATGAAGGTCAGTCAATTCGGAAAATTTCAAGAACTTTGAAAGTTTCAAGTGCAGTAGCAAAAATCATAAATAAATAAAATAAATAAATTGGTCATTTAGCAGACGCTCTTATCCAGATCGACTTACAGGAGCAATTAGGGTTAAGTGCCTTGCTCAAGGGCACATCGACAGGTTTTTCACCTAGTCGGCTCGGGGATTAGAACCAGCGACCTTTCGGTTACTGGCACAACGCTCTTAACCACTAAGCTACCTGCCGCCCCATCAAGCGCTATGATGAAACTGGCTCTCATGAGGACCGCCACAGGAAAGGAAGACCCAGCGTTACCTCTGCTGCAGAGGATAAGTTCATTATACACTGCTCAAAAAAATAAAGGGAACACTAAAATAACACATCCTAGATCTGAATGAATGAAATAAACTTATTAAATACTTTTTTCTTTACATAGTTGAATGTGCTGACAACAAAATCACACAACAATTATCAATGGAAATCAAATGTATCAACCCATGGAGGTCTGGATTTGGAGTCACACTCAAAATTAAAGTGGAAAACCACACTACAGGCTGATCCAACTTTGATGTAATGTCCTTAAAACAAGTCAAAATGAGGCTCAGTAGTGTGTGTGGCCTCCACGTGCCTGTATGACC